ACTTAGAGCCTTAAAGCCCATTTGAGATTATGTTTAAAATTTATCAATTTTAGGGAAGGGAAATTGCTTATAAAGAAGGGAAGAAAAGAATTGCGGTGAGCAGTGACCCTCCCTTTATATAGGAGAATGAAAGAGGAGAGGGTTCATCGCTTTAAGACTGCAAAAAATGTGGAACAAATCCAATGCTGTAGTACACATTTAACATTTAAGGCTTTAAATGTGCAGCTCTCAAATCTTGGAATGTCACAGCTGCTGAAATTCGTGAATTACCGACACTAGATCGTTTCAAAAAACAACTTAAAACGTATCTAAAAAGCTGACGCTAAAACAAAACTTCCTAGAAGAACAGCAATATGTAGATAAGATTTGTAGGTCTTAAAGGCCTCTCCAGCCAACTAAGAGTACCAACAATTGCAGCGTTCAATTTGCGAATCGCCGACGTTCGATTCGGTTTGAGGCGAGACTAACAAAACACACTGTGACTTCAAAAGTGCGTCACAGTGTCACCAAACCGAAAAACTTTTGTCGGTTAATTCAATTCAATTATCGAAATGCAAGAGCTTATATCTCACAAACTGTAAAAAATATCGAAAAACAAATAATGAATTCGTGATCAGCAGGTTCAACTCCTTTAGATTAGCCAATAAAATGCAATTGAAAATTTTGGCTGGAGAGGCCCTTTAAAATCTTTAATTGTTAGGCTTGTTATCAATGACCAGATTCATTTTTATTTTGCTTCGATTTTGATTTGCTGAAGGGTTATTTGTGTATAAATATATTTAAAAAAACCAACACAAACGCGACAGAGCACCTACGTGCACTGCGAGCGAAGCAAACAGAAACTTGGTGCGGCCATGCCCTTTAAATTAGCTTGAAATACATTTCAGAATGTTTATTGCAGTCGTTTACCACGTTTCGAAATTTTTTACGCATACTTTTTTTTGTTTCGTTAAAATTCAGTTCTTGAGTAGGAATGCATTGTTTTAAGAGACCCCCTAAACCATGAGGCCCTGGGGCAGTTTGCCCTTTTTGTCCCCTTCTCGGCGGTCCTGTTCATAATCCATGCATCTCCTTCACAGGGGCCTGTTTGTAAAAATTGACCTCCTCTAGTTCTGAACTATGAAGTTGATTCTACATGTAAGTGAGGAGTTTTCTCACTCAAGGATTTTATTCATATCAAATATTTTTCAGGGTTTTATAAACTCTCTTTAAAGGGGCCCACCGGGAATTTTTATGGTGTCCCTACTAGCCACAACGCCCCTGGCTGTAACCGAAAGTACGTTGTAAATGAGTACGTTATAAGCGGGGTACTTTCTTTAAGTTAAGTACGGACCTTTTACCGGGACTAAGTACACCAGTCCGTTTTATCCGAAAGTACGCTATAACCGAGTATGTTATAACGGGATTACACTGTATCAAATAGCAAATAGGGCTCTAACGAGTTCAAAAGTAAAGGTAGCACATTTAACTGACTAGTAGTCTTTTCGTTGCGTAGTCCAAATTCAAAAATTTGAAATTTATTCTTATGATCTGATGTCTCTGGAACTCTCTATCGTGAAAAGACAAGATAGTTTCCAAACTGCAAGCACGTGATACATTGCAATTACAGTCAATAAATACAGAGAGTCAAAATACATTACAACACGTGTTGCTCAAAAGTTAAGCTAAAGTTATAAAGAATGCATTGCAACGAGAATGGCTTCTTTGGGAAACTCATCAGCTGTAGAAACGAAAACAGTTTTATCATCTTTTTTAAAAGATCTTTGTTTGTGAATCTTTCAGCAGAATTTATTCACCACGGCCTATGTCAACAGTATGTGCAAATAGGAAAGAAAAAAATTGTGCAATTTCTTCGCCTTGCTAATCGTGAACTATAAAGGACTTTACTATCATAGGAAGTAGTTTTTTGTTTGTAGACAGTCCTTAAATGAAATCACATGAAAATATATTTCAGTGAGAAGGTATGGATGCAATCTTCCACAGGCCCCGTGGAAACGAGGTCGTCATTGGGCAGGAGGCTCGTTAAAAATAACCTCACAAGTAAACATTCTGACATTTTTTCCAAGCTTTGACGCAACCTATTTTTGACATAGGGAGCTATTAGGCTTTAAGTACAAAAAGCATGAGGGAATAGATTTCTTTGAAAATCGTATAAAAAACCGATTATTAACGTTCCTTTCCGTTCACTTGGTACAAAATTTTGTCTGTCTCCAAGCAGTTGATAAAACTTTTATCCCTTACATTTCAAAGGAAATCTGTTCCCTCGATTTTGTTTGAGCTAACTGTCAAAAACGCACTCAAAGACTAAGCCAGATAAAATGGCTCAATGTTTTTGCACACGATTCCCTTGGAGCGTCAATTACTTTGACACTGCTCTGAAATTGTTGCTGAATTGTCAACATAAACGTGAAGGATATACAGGAACAAAGCAATACGACGACGAGAATCCAATGTCACGAGATAAAATTTTCAAAATAAATTAAATTTAAGGAATATAAACGTGAAGCCTGAGTTTATCTTTATGGACATGTCATTTTTGACTGCTGATAAACCCAGGGAGGATATCCCGGAGAGTATGGAGGGTTGTGACACCCCCAATCTAAAAAATAGTCGATTTCGAAGGGCAATTGAAGATTTTGCAGGGCGACAAGAAAAATTTTATGGTAGCGCAGAAACCACACCTCTGGAGTTCTTAAAGGGCTGTTTATAAATTTTGAAATGGAAGTATCATATTTGCGATGAACTTCCCTTCCTGACATTGCATTCCAGCGAATGGAACCGGATATCAGGAAGAGCTCAGTTAGAAGCAAAACGAAAGCATTTCTTAGAGGCTAGGGGGCTAGGGGGCTGAAGGCCACCACTTTGGTAAAGATAAGAATTTGTTAACCGTTTTTTCTATTATTTTTTGCTTCGTTTGCAGACCTTTGCTTAGAGGTCTGCAGGGCACCATTCAGTTTTGCAGGGCAGAAACCCTTTTCACCCCCCGAAACCTGATGGCCAAGTTACGCCCCTGGTAAACTTTTAAAACTAAGTAAATGATTTTCATATGTGAAACTTGATCCTTTGCAGAACTGCTCTTCCATCAAATATTTAACAAACCTTCAAGAAGTAAATATTGAAAACTGGAGAGCATTTTTAAAGAAATACAGCAACCCCCCCTTCCCATCACACACCAGTATTTTCTTTTTTAGGGTAATGTGATTGCAGTATTAGCTGCGTAGCATACCTGATCTTTTTTTAAAGCAAATGGAACATTTTTCGTAAAGATGGTAATATTTGTTGGTTCATTGCGTTTTCGAAGTTTCTTATTTTTGCCTGTAATTTCCATCAACTGATCCTCATATTTTTGCCACACTTGTGCAAGGACAAAGTCATTAAAAAGGCAAGTTAAGCCTTCCCATGGACAGGAAAATACATTGCAAGACATAATTACAGATTGAATTTCCATTATCTTTGTTCATCTTTCTTGCTATGCAAAAAGAAAATGAATCATAATTCCCGGATTTTATGAAAATAAGAATAGTCAGTGAAGTGCTAGTCCCTGTAGACTGCTCGTAGACTTGACTGTGCGGAGGCTTATGAGTTCTTTACCCACAAGGAAATGAAGTGAATTTTTTCTGTTTTAAACCCCTCAACCCCTGGTGATCTAGCCTCCATGCATGCAGACTCTAACCTCCTTCGTGAGGGTCAGGATCTTCATACAGGCTATTGGTGATCACACTAAACACCAAAGCACAAAAGTGTACTTTCACTTTCTTGTCATACAGATTGGGAATTTTTATGAAGTTTTACATGACCAGAGATGGGCAAACGTGTAATTTGGTGGCATATGTGGAAGTTGGAGAGGATAGTTGACTTTGCAGAAACAAAGCTACCCGACGCCCCTCTTGTTTGACGCTTGACGCTCTGGGACCCAGGGTAAAACAAAGCGGACATTTTTTCATAGCTAATATTTTCCGTGTTAATTTATATTATGACTGATTGTTTCTAACATGTCATCTTTAAAAGGATATCCTCATTTAAAGATGTTGCTAATAAAATATATTGAAATAACTGCTTTTCAAATAAATATAAAAATAAATAATATAAAATTGCTGCTCTTCGTCTCTCTTCAAAAGACTCTTCTAAAGCAGAGGCTTTCTTTCTAAATTAAATTTATAGAAACAATAAATAGTACTGCAGGAAATTTGAAAACGTTCTTGCAAATGGCAATAGAAACCTTGCTGATTAAGTTTGAATTTGAAAACTATAATAAAAGATCCAATTTATTTTTAATCTAGTAGTCCTAAATGATTTGATCTGCTACTAGCTGTGATACTTCAAGCTCTCAAATATAAAGACAATTGATACTGGACTATCAGATTTTTTGCAACAGTAACAATATTCTCAGAGGTTCTCATACAAAAACCAGCAAGTGATCACATATGCGGACTATGAACAATTTGGTAATCAAATTCATAGAATTCAACTTGGCGAAATGACAACTTCCAAGCCTCGAATTCTTAATCAAGCAAGCTCTTTTTGTAAAGAAATAATACAGGGTCAACGATAGATGTCTAAAGAACTTGGTAAGGATTCTCCACAGGAAGAAAACCAATCAAAAGATTGAAAATGCAATATACTCCTTCTCACTTTCATTTTCTACTTGCACTTTTAAAAAGAGAAGATAACAAAAACAAACAAAGTAACGGGCCTGTAAACCTCTTCGAGCAATAAAAAATGCTGAAGCAATTTCTGTATTACCAATATTGGAATCCATCGTAAACAAACTTTCATCTCCTTTGGAGGATATTACAGTTGTTCTTTGTCAGGGATCAGTATTGGGGTTTCTGTAGTTGCCGGAATTTTGGCTCTCATCTTTATTAAAATTGCGTATTTCCATTAATATAAACCAATGAATCCTGCACTACACTCCTTCACATTCGTTCATTCCTAACGATAAATTAATCTGGAAATGGTATAAAGTTCAATTTCGCAAAGAAAATTAGACTACTGCTGACAAATATATGGCTTTAGAATAATTCATCCGTGTCTAAATTATTTGAAAGAAATGCGAATTTTGTTACTCTGGACTCCATCATTCTTTCGTATTTACTTGCATCCATTTGATAATTTTCTGGTTTTAATTTGAAAACATGATTATGGTTGTCATTCTCAAAAAGGGTAGATAATTCTTCTGCTGCATTGAAACTCGAATTAAGAGACTGTAACGCAAAAAATCTCAAAAATTTGTCATAACTCGCTAAACATTGTGTTATTGAATATTTCATTAGCCATTTAACCAATATAATTATGCTCATTGTTCATATTTAGGGCAATAATACCAATTCCATCCTGGATCTTCATCTTTCTTCTTTAAGCAATCATGTAGATTAAACTGGACCCCATTATCTGTGTTACCATCCTTCAGCACGACCGAAAATACGTTATCAGCGCCGTTGAAAAACTTATCGTGCCATTTTCTGCAGGAAATTGTAACGATATTTTTGCGATGATACTTGATAACGACAAAATGACCTAACTCGTTGTCATTTGGTGGTGTGCGTGTAACTTTCGTGTAGTAGGGACTTTCTGCACTATCAACGTAAATGTACCCCCCTCTTAACTTCAGCTCCCAATAACCGTCACTCCGTTTTATAAATTGGGTTTTGGTTTCATTTGTTGGTGTTCCTGTCTCGAAGGATATGTAGTTCTTGTAACGTTTCACCGTGTTGAACTTTGACTTCTTTATAGGCCTGCCAATGTGGTATGTAGGCCATTTCACTGACAGGAGAACATACTTTGAGGGGATCCAAACTGCAGGTTCTGGAATCCCAGATACTTTCATGAATGTATGAATAAGCCTGCTATCATTTGAATGCCCGGGTGGGTGATAGTAGACAACCGCTCCAGCTTGTTCTGGGGCAGGTTGATGGAGAAACTGAAGGGCACCTTGGTAAAAATCTTTGTTTCCGAGTTTCACGTTTTCAAACGAGGCAGCCTCGTCTTCATCACCTGCATGCAAAAGAAATCGATTATGTCAAGTGAAGTGAATCGTGAAAGACTAGTGAAAGACAACATTTTTAATTGTATGTATGTATGTATGACCCAAGATTGAGAAATCTTTATGTCAATCACCACATTGCAAGCTTCTCAGTAGGAAAACCAAATCATGTTCATATAATACCATTCTTCCACGTTAACCGAAGTGATCGAATATATAGAGGAGAAATGGAACAATTCTTAATTAGAAAATAGAAATGGAACAATACTTCATACAGCCAGAGTTTACTAGGGACAAAAAGTAAAACAATAATGGTCATTTGAACTCAACTCAACTTAGTTAACATCCATATTCGTATTATTCCTATTCGTTAGAATATTCGTATTACGTCGCATTTTTATGCAATCTAACGACAAACATAAAAACATCTTTATATAGTGTTACTGGAAAATTTAATTCGAATTGGCTCAAGATTCTGCACGATCTGATGAATTCTAAATTGCAAGTATCTATCGACTGCTTTTTGCGCAATATCTGCGTAAATCTATGTATGTATGTATATGTATATGCGCAATAACTATACCGATATGCCATGCTTGTTGGTACGTCTCTTTCTAGTGTCTGGTATCAACTGTGTCTAGCTAGAACTCGTGAAAATCGAACTTTTGCTAACTAAATTCTCAGGTCACTTGAAAATCTCCCGAGAAACCCTTATAGAAAACCACTACAATCCCAATATCTTTAATTGGAACGTTTTGTAATTCGACCTATTTGTAGATCCCTTGAGAAAAACAACCTTTTCAGTTCGAGCTTTCGCGAATTTACAAAAGTGATCCTGCTCACAATTTTAAGAAAATCTTATCAAGAAATTTTCGCAGCAATTCCATATCAACTGATGGTTGATTAAACAGTTGTTTGACTTACCATAGGTACCAGCTTAATTAAGTAGTTACATCATTTAACATCGAAGATAGAAGTGGAGGAGCGGTAGCGGAGAAGCCTCTACTCGAGAAGATGGATCGTTGTTTTCTTAGCTAGATACTCCTCCGCTCCTCCGCTCCCCCTATAGAATGCGACTGTAGATTGTGTAAAAAATTTATTGCTGGGTTAGGTTTTATTTAGAACATTATACCTTAAACCTTTTTAATATTGTATCATATATTTTTATTTCATACTAACTCTTTATAGATAGTTGGCCTTAATTAGCTTCTTTATAGCTATCAGCCATTCATTTAGTACGCCAACTTTAAACAAATTATTTATTATTATATATTATTATTATATCCCCCGCTCCCCCCCTCTTCCGCTCCCACGCTCCCCCGTCCCCGCTCCCCCGCTCTCCGCTTCCCCCGCTCCCCACCGCTTCCTCCCCCGCTCCCCCGCTCCCTCGCTCCTCCGCTTGGTTTTCTATTAGCGAGCTCGAAATTTCGTGGCTTGTACCTAGGCTATGTTTTTCTAAGATATCATAAATCAAGTTGATTCTTTGAAAAGCCGACTTTAGAAAACAATGTTATCTGTTTAGCTTCTTTTGGAATTTTTTGCACAGTTTCATAGATATTACCTTGGTTCCAGAGACTAGAAGATGAGAAGGAAATTTCTATTGAAAAGGCCCTTCACATGAGGAATTTTCCCCTAGATCCAATTTTCCACAACGTGCACCCAATGTACACAATAATGTAGAAATTTCTTTCCAACATAATTTCTAAAAAAAATGGCCCTTTTTACAATGTAATGTATCCGTTTAAACAAGTGCGGATCCACTGTCCTTTTTTGCCGGACCTTGATGATCCGACCTCATCTGGTCAGCGATTCCTAAATTTGCTTTTGAAATGGACTCATATCTACAGGCCTGATGCAGTTGCAGCTTACATGCCCAGGAAAAATCATATCATTCCAATAATGAATCAACATAGAGTGTGAATGGGGTGCTAACCTGCTCTTCTGAAAAGAGTGATGGCTTCCTGTAACACTGTGTCACGAAATGTTGCAATTTGAACGTACAAGACGCAAAACTTATAAGCTTGCTTGGCTTCAGATGATTTGCTTGAAACTGCTCGTTCCTTGATGTAGCCTTCGAGCTTTGATAGATCTCTCACACCTGTGTGTGAAGGAACATGGCTAACAATGTTGGAGACGTCATCACTGTTAAGACTTTGTTGTTTTTTTGGCTCAAGGTATCGCATAATAGCGGTCAGCTTATTCCTATACCCATCAATTTGTATTTTCAAGTCTTTGTCTCTCGCTTCATTCAGAACTTCTCTCATTGCATCCTTTATTGCCTTGTCCGTCTGAAAAAGAAAGGTGGCATCAACATAACGTTATTGCATCCAATAAATTCAATGATACATGAGACTATTTTGATAAGTCATTTGAACCTCAGTTTATTTTAAAAATAAATGTAAATTAACTTTTAGTTAAATTAGTTCTGATTTTACCCGCCAATGCTTTGCTCTTTTCTTGGTTTTTTGCCCTTTCTACTTGCCCTGCCGCTCTTCAGCCATTTCTTGAAATATTGACTCAGCGATGGGAAATCAGAAAATATCTATACATTGTTCAACAATGAAACGATGTCGGCTTTACATACTATTATATGCATTTTATATTCATTCATTATAAAAAGAACGATGGCTTAGAGTTACCAAGTCATTAGAAACGAAAAGGGAAATTTGTAGAAATGAGCCGTAAAAAATGAAGAGGCATGTCAAATATTGTTAAAGGAATATTCCGCTGCCATATCATAAAGAAGTTTAGTTTTCAATTTTTTCCTGTCAAGGGCTGTATTTGATGACCTGAAAGCGTTTCGAATATAGCCTCACTCGCAGCCTATATCCTGATACAGGCGCATGTAAATTTAAAGAAAGTACCCTAATAAGAAGGTCGATTCTAAAAATTTGCAATAATGGTGAAATATGTGAACAGAATTAGAAATGTGGGCTAAAAAGCGATCTATACTCTCATTTCACAACATAAAGAAGTAGAAAAAATTGTGCGTTTTCCTAACGACAATGCCCGCCAAAAGTGTTGGAACAGTCCCTTTATCTTTCCTACTAAACATCGCCCCTCCCCCCATATACAATATTGGATTCCGACTGGAAAATGACAACAAATGTATGTTGGAGTGCAAATTGTGTAGCCCATGATTAGTGCCATGTTCATCTTCCTCCCAACATTGCTTGGGGGGGGGGGAGGGGGATCCGTCTGCTTGAAATAGGGAAACGAACTGACAAATATGCATTTGTTACGAGTGCAATACCTTTGGCGGCCATTGTAGCTGAAAAGGGCTTATTCAGAATATTTTACTTCTCTATTAACAAACTGTTTTCTCAAAAGCTATTTCTCCATACTTTTGCCGGAGTCACAAATCCAAGAATGCTCGAGACGAGTGATGCAAGAGAGGATATTACGAGTCCTGCTGGCGGTGGAAAAAACTCCGTTATTCCAGCAATAACGGCCAAAGCACCTTCTGCAACAGTCAGGCCCTGGTCACTTTTAAGTTTTGGGACAGCGCCTGCAAGTGTCTTTGCCATGGAATATACGTTCTTGGCATGCTCAGGTTTTTTGGTTACTTCAGCTTTAATTTCCTGAAGAAGATTCTTAATATCTTGTTTGTCAGCAAGAAGTGTCTCAAGCTCAGCGAAAGCAGCGTCTGCTTCGTCATCAGTCACCATCCCGCATAGTGGCTTTATAGCAACGGTTAAGAATATGGCTAGCGCCAAATATACGCTTTTGGTGGCATGCCTTATTCTTACCTTTCGGCAAAGCGTCCAGATCTGAATGCTGTATGTATATAGACGACTTGATGATATAGCCTTGGTAACGTGGACAAAAATTTCTCAATCAGTCACCAAGAATCGGATCAAAAATCAGATAGCGTTGTTTGTTTAGTGGCACGGGGGATTCAACATTTTTCGATGACAAAAGCAATTTATTTAAGGACAGTGTTGAACAATGCACCTGCTAAAGATCAGAGTGCCCCCGGCAATAATTTGACATCCCTGTACTAAGATTAAATGTTTGTAGCCTTGTCTTTTCATGCTTCTAATTTCGCTATGCATTACCGAATTTACCTGGGCAGTACCATGTCTTTGTTACCAGTTGTATAAAGAGCATAGTTTCTACCACATATTTCGAATTCTTGAAAATAATCTTTTACTGGAGATCATAAAATCTATTTCTTCATTTATATGAATATGTAAGTTGTAAATGGCAGTTCTTCGAGACTGGGGCTCTTTACGCTACTTTCCGGTGGGGTCGGAGAGGGGTAGGACTTATGTTGGGCAATATTGGGCCAATTGCGGCTAAAATTGATGGGTTTTTGAAAGGAAAACCTGTGAATGGAAAACCTGTAGATAAAATTTTGTTTTGTTCCAACAAAGCAGATTATCTAAAAATTTGATAACCTGTGAATGGATAGTTTGCTCATTCTGTTATAGATAAAATTTTGTTTTGTTCCAACAAAGCAGATTATCTAAAAATTTGTTTCTTCCTTTTTATAGTCTCCTTTTTCAGTTCTTCCTTTGACGTTGATAAAAACAGATTTGATTTGTGTTCGTCCTGTATTTTTCAGAATTATCAGGCATGTCGTTGTTTCCATGTTAAAACGCTGTTGATATATATAAACTGGGGTTTTCTTTCGTTTGTACCTACCAAAGTTCCTGTAATATGCTGCCAACCTGAAACAAGCGCTCAACCTGAAAAAGCGCCTACCCAGATCCATTTTTAATAAGCGACCCTATACTACGTGCCAAGGCAATCCTTGGAGCAAATCTTCGGTGCAGAAACCAGTAATTAGTACCTAGGCACCAATATGAGTAAAAATGTTTTGGAACAAACTTTACACTTGTGGCATATATCGCTAACGATTATTCTGCTCTGTTCTACTGGAGGTTTTCCTGGATTGTATTGAAGTATACCTATGAATTCTCCGACAAAGGTTTCTTTACCGATGTACTATATATATGTTTGTATGTACGTTTTGTACATTTCAGTTTAATAAACAAACAGCTATCAACATGAATCTTTTTAGACCTACAAAAACGATAATTGCATGAATACCTGAATAAGTAAAATAAGTAGAGTTATATTAGCAATCCAATAAAAGCCTATATAATGACATGCAATCGAAAATTTACTTTTAAAATGTATTTACATTGTTTTCAAAAGTACCTACACTTTTTCTAATATCTTTGGCAAGTTTTAATCTTAGAATTTTCCAAAGAATACTTCTGTTTCTTGTTCTTACATTGTGGTCGTCAATCATAAAACAATCTTGAAAGTTCGTACATGTCTTATTCAATGTACAGTTTTTCTTGAAAACAAAAACTTCTATATAAACCCATGTGTTATAAGCATCAACCCAGAAGTAGAGAAAACTTGCAATGTTCTTTGTATCTCTTCCATGCCCAATTTTTCAAAAGATTTTGAAAGACTTGCATGATATAAGAGCAAGCTATACTTCTTGAAGAACTCTGTGTGTTGGTTTCTGAACATCTTATTTATAAAATCGGATATTTAAAACAATTTTGGTCTAGCTATCTACAATCCTTCATAAAATATTGAGACTGCATTGAGTTTTTGCCCCCCTTCCCCATAAAAGCAGTCTTGTTTTTTGATCTGAGGAAATGTAGTTGGTAAATCTTAATTTTGAAAGAACATTGCTTTGTTGTGGGGGGGGGGGGGGCATTAGAATTAACATTGTGAATTTTAAATATAAAACGTTTTCACAGAAAACATAGGAAAAAGTAAGTCAGTAAAGAAAGGTCACAATATTTTCGTGAAGGATTGGAGCTTGTTCCCTTTTCCACATCATAACTCCTTGATAATTTGACAAGAAACAAAAGACCATAGTTAGAAGGAGTAGAGTGGATGCTACCAAAAATGTGCAGAATTGTTTGGTGCCATTTAGCATGGCTTGTAGGTTCTATGTAGAAATTCATTTTCAGGCTGCGATTTAGCATTTCGATCCCAGAAGTACTGAAAGTCGGCGAATCTCTACACTGATAAATTAAAGAGTTTAATCAAAGCAGGATCTCAAAAAGAAGTTTATTCGGTGAACACACGTGCCCTTCTCGAAACGCTGCTATGAACAAATCTCTTAAGCCAAGTTCCGAAGTCTTCTCAGATCTTGCCCTAGGTACAAGAATGGAACTGGATTATCCGCGAGTCTATTTTAACATGGATCTCATTACAAAGCAGGCATCATAAACAGTTGTAAAAGAGATTCTTAAAGACTACTACACGTTAACCCTACAGGTTGTGGTGAAATGTGCATATCAATTCTTTTGTAAGCTGATAAATCTTGGTATTTTCTTCAATTATTCTATAATAAGATCTATCTATAACAATTATTCTAGAATAAGATAAAATAAGAACTAGCAAGTAAACACACAAAGAATGAAAGTGCGTATATAAGCGTCATTCATGAGTTCTTAATGTTGATTGAGAATTTAAAAAGCAGCAGTAGAGCAATAAAATAACCTACTAAAGCTTTTGAAGACATAACATACAAACTTCGTACAAAACAGCTACTAGAATACTTGAAAATCGGGGTCACAAAACCTGTTAGGTTCAAACGTTAATTATCAACCGGGGATAAAAAACAGGGTAACAAAACAATTATCAACCTGCCAATGGATTACATAAAAGAAGCGAAGCAACAAACAGTTATTCGCAACTGGAATAGCTAGCATGTCTTCATAACCTGAAATGGCATGTCTAATAAATTTTTAATATCGTACAAGTATATGCAAGAAATGCAGCCATTCTAGATTAATTTCATCATAGGGCACGTATTTCGTTATAGGTAGCAAAGAGCCAAACAGAAGACACTCCATATTTTTGATGGAATCGAAAACAGGTGTGTGTGAGGGAGGAGGTGGGGGGAGGGGGGGTTAATGGTCCAGAGCTGGCAGAGATAAGAACAAGGCATAAGTTGCTTCCGATTCTGTTATCTGTTATCAATTAAGAAAAAAGAATATAGTTTGGCAATTTGAAAATAGCAGGGAAAAGCGAAAACATGTCATACCATCCGTATCGGAAACATGATTTTCCTTTTCCTAGGCTGCGTCACAGACCATCATCACAAACGAGGTGACGTCATCCAGTACTTGTTAGTTATGATCACTTACGTCTCCCTCTCTTACCATCACTGTGACCGTTGATTTGTCAGTATTTCTTTTCTATTATCAATTTTCTAGTTTACTCTGTCAAATTTTAATTTGATGTTTCGGTCCTTTTTTTTGACTAATAAAACGCCAACCGCAAATGTTAGTTGCCAAGGTCGGTTTTCACTTCTTCTAAAAAAGTGTCCATGATACAAACATAAAGGGGATCAAGGCCGATCCTTGACGGACCCCAACTTTAATTTAAAATTCATCAGTGACGTCTTACTGTGTCACATCTTTAGAAGCAACATTTCTGCATGTTGATTCAACAAGCCTTATCAGCTTTTCTGGTGTTTTCTTCTTCAGTAAAACACCAATACATAGCTGCAATCGGTTTACGTTCAAAGGCTTTCTTTAGATCTAAAATTGCCAACAATCGTATTTTCGTTTTTCAAGTGTTATTCCTTAGAGTTGTCTTTTTAAAAAGGTGGCATCGGTGGTTCCTTTTCCAGTAGAAAATCAAAAATGTGATCTAAGAATTTCGATACTTAGTCAAAGTCTTTTGCCAAGTATTTTTCTATGATTTTAAGATCATGCTCTAGGAGTTTTATGCCAATTTATGGAAACAAAAATCGGAAGTGTTCAGTTACAAGAAAGATGTTCAAGAATAGCACAACAATAACGCAATTTTTATCATTCTTCATAAATACAATTTATCATTTCTTTTTTTTATCAAGCTACTAAATAAAACAGTTGTTCTACAGTTGGCTACTTACACTGTAGCTACACATAACGAAGTCCACTAATGATTTCTTACAAAACACTAGATGTAACAAACCTGTTTGGAAAACAGGATTATGTTTTCATCAATTTATTTAGAACAGTTTCTCATTTTCAATATTCTCATCACAATTTTTTAAGTCTTACAGTCACAGCAGAAACTACCTTTTTATAATTTGCAAACGCACATTGAATCATTCTCATCTGCATAATTTTTCCTTGGGTCCTCATTTGCTATTTACGAAATTACACAAAATCGACTACAGTGGGTTAGATTTTTCTAAACACACCAAAATCAAACATTTTCAAAAATCTTTCGTGAACGTTTCAGAATATCTTTTCCGGTACATGATTTCAAACGTTTTCAAATAAAGTTTCTGAAAACGGTACCAAAGGTTGTACCCTGGGTACCAGAGACTCAGTAAAAGTGATGGTTGATACCATACTACCCACTCTTTCATTGAGGCTTTGGCACCCAGGGTACAAACGTTGTCAAGTAATGTTTGCAGAACACTAGTTTAAACGTTTCCAGAATATGTTTCCGTAGTAAAACAGTTTCAACAAACGTTTTGAAACAATAAAAATAAGGAGGCTAACTTATATTGTTTTCGGAGAAGGCTAACTTATATTGATTAAAAATGATTCCGGAAAACGTGTCCAAAATCTACCCAAAAAAGTAGTCATTGTACTGGGCCAATTAAGAGGAAGAGTTTCCTTAAATTACAAAAATTGCATCTACTTTACCTTGAAATATAGCTCCCGGGAGAAAAGTCAGACCAAGGAAAACATGAGACAAAGCAAATGTGAATTTCAAGGCAAAGTATGAAGTAAAACAAACAAATCTTGGTGGCATACTTCTTTTTATTTATGTAAAATGATGTAAGAAAATGCCTACATGCCTCTATCATTCTTAAACTAATTAACAAGACCATAGAAGTTAAAACACCTCGATAATAAAAACTTGCCTAAGTAAATGTTTTTCATTATTCAATATACATTTACTATAATTCTGAAATAATCAGCTTAGGCTCCCACTTGACTTGTCTTGCAGTTTTTGTTTCTTGGTGGATGGTTCATCATTTGAAACCTCTTCCTGCAAAACATTTTACGTTTATTTGTTCATTTGACGTTGGAATAAGTGAAACTCGCTAAGTCAGGAAATTCAGCAAGTATTTTGAAACTGGAGTCTTGATCCCTAAAGAACTACAGCAAAATAGGTGATCTTAAATACAAAAATGTCAAACCTTTATAAAATGCCATTAATTGCCAATATGAATGAATCATGAATCAAAGGGTGTCATCCGCGTAGCGAATTCTAAACGCTTACAAGGGCTCAGTAGGAACTTGCCTGAATATTATGGCTTCGATGAGATTGAGCAACTAGAATGGAACCTGAAAAGGGTAAATTTTGCCCAAGCATGGGGGCTGCAGCCCTCCCAGCCCCTATATTTTATACCCCTATTGGTGTTACATTCTTCCAATAATTTTTAAACTACCGAATTGCTCGTAAAAAGACGCGGACATAAGGTCAAAGACTGCAAGTGCGAGGCAAAAATCCCTCCCTACTGTCTGTGTACCGAGCGAGATTTTCAAAGTATCAGATAATTACCTGAATAAAGATGGACAATTTTCTGGACTCTCGGGTGCGTCCGACTTACGATCCATGCATGGCAGGACAGCCTGTTATTCCTAGCCTACTGCTATGATACGGTTGGCTGATACTATTTACGACTTCTATCATTCAATTTGTTGACCAAGAGATGCAAATTATGACAGCAATCTTTTAATCACAATGCCTTAAGTTGCCTTAAAGATCTTTCCCACTGAAATTCTCCGTGATTCTCGAGAAACATCCAAAACATTTAAAAGAATCACAAAATACCATCGAAGAAACACAATGTTTGGCAAAACGGTAATTCTTCTAAGGCTGCAAAAGGCACTTGAAGCCTTTCAGCTGAAAATTAAAAGACATGGTATTTTTCTACTACTTGTTTGGTGTTTTCAATCGGCAAGGACCTTGGTAGCACCGTCACGTGAGCAGCAATTTGCCATACCACCAAAAAAAAAGAAAACGAACATACCTCAGGCACAGTTGTAACCATTGCATGGGTGCGTTTTTCTTTCGGACTACAATTTTGTTTGTCTGCTTGCTGTCCCACAGCATTCGCTGCCTGAATGAGACTTTGACTAAAACCGGCTAGAGAGTCATCCAGTGATTGCGAGGTTTGCAGTGCAATGTCCAAACTGTCTTCATTCAAATTCGAATTTTCCGTCGAATTAAAACTAAGAGATATGTACGAGTATTGCTAAAGCTTTCAGACTTCTTTAAATTACCTTAATTCTAAAAGCTAGTTCTCTGCCAAAATCTGTTGAAGCATGTAGAAAATCGTTCACATTTCTAAACCTTTCCGAAAATGAACAGTTGTCTTTTGAAATACACAGACATAGAGGCACCTAAGCAAGGATAAATACTCATAAAAGTGAGAAATAAAAATAGCACGATAGGAGCATCGATATTTCACTAATTCACTAAGCTGCTTTTAGCCAAAACTGCTTAAACAGAGAGAGGGAGACGCCTCTTTTAAGAATATTTTAGAAAAGTGCATCGAGAATTTTGGCAGGTATTTCAAGTAGGCCAGGAGCCAAATTAGATTAAACTTATTATGTTCACATCCAAAATACAAGCTTCAGTTCGCTATGATCAACTCAAAAACAATTTCATATTAAAACAACCTGAAAATCAACAAGTAAATAGCTAGTAATACGAAACTATACCGTAATTCCTCTAATGAACGCATTTTCATTTGACAAACTTTTCATTTTGTATTAAACGCCGCCTTCTTATAAATGCAGCCCTCTTTTGGACGCAGCATCCACAATTTGGAACGTGTAATGAACGTCGCGGCGTTCTTTAGAGGAAATACGGTAGTTATTGAAGCATAGGCTTGATATTAAAAGCAGAATTTCAATTGCAGAAAATGCATTAATCATACCTTGGAAATGACATGCCAGTGTTGCTATCCTCGTTTACTGAAACTGTGAAAAATATTTTATTTTATTATCATATAAAGTTAAGATAAAATTATAGAAAGCTTGTATCAAGAAGAACCCTGAGTTATAGTAGTCAATTGTGACCTAAAATATTGGTTAGAGCAAATGCAAGAGTCATTATAGTACGATTCTTGGTACTCATTACATAGACATAAAAGATCCTTTGCTTTAATAAAGCACTGCATGTCGGGGTGAAATATTATATATGTATTATTTTTTTGCCTTTTTCATCCTTAGTTTTTAATGTATTGTGGTGTTTCTTATTTTCAACAGTTTATGGACTTTTTGCTGCAAGTATTCCACTGTAAGTCTCTCAAGAAATTTACTACCGAGGTCTTTTCATTATCTTTATAAATGCAGGTTCTTCCCTCTGAAATAATTCAAATTTTACCATAGATTATAATTTTAAAACTTTTTCACTTAGTCAACTAATTTATCAAATTATTTACCAAACTAACTTATCAAATTAGTCAACTAATTTGATAAAGAATGCTCATTGCAAGTGTCCTGATCTGGACAAAAATAATTCACGCTTCAAGTCTATGGGCTATCCACACTTAAATACTGTATTGAGCTTGCAGGTTATTCTTGCTAATAAGGAAACAAATAAGCATACTTGGAACCAGAGGCGGACACTTAGTTGGGGGGGGGGGGCAAGCCTATTGTTTTAATAAGATGATGTCACATTTCTCATTGTTTTAGAACAAAAGACCATTGTGGTCTTAAGTATTGGGGGGCGATTGCCCCCCTTGCCCCCCCCCAAGTGTCCGCCACTGCTTGGAACAGTGATCATTCAAGCTTCCTGGTAGCTTTTTTCATAACGAATAACCTGAGGATAAATTACCTAATGGTTTAAGAAATGAGTCATCATTATTTTTCTTTGACTGTAATTCTGATACAGTGTCTTGTGAGTCTTCTGATGTTGGAGCAGGAGATGGAAAGCTCATATTTGAATTTGTCTCATCCATCAGGTTAGCTGTAAATCCATTTTCAACTAGAAGAGAAAACTCAATGTTGAAAAGCTAATCCAGAACTATATATGTTATAACTCCATTTATCTAGACAAATTAAGGCACTTTCTTCAATGATAACCAAGTGGCTAGAGGTGCTTAATATGGATCCAAGCGTGAGTGGTTTGAGTCTCTGGCATGACCTAACATTCACCCAGAGTGAGGAAAGTGGGAAGCATTCTGTAATTCACAATGAGTTTTAAAGAATACGCTAGAGGGATAACTCTGTAGGGAGGCAGTGAAGCCTGCTGATTTGCATGACAAGAAGTTACTCTCAGTGTATGGCGTTCTGTTGCATCTCACTATTAGGATGGTTATATCAACCATTGCCTTTGGGGGTAAAAATTGACAGAGTCATAAGAAAATGCAATCTTTTAACAGATGCCTCCTGTATTTCTATGGATATAAGTGGTGATGGATTAAATTTATTTCACCACTTTGTTTACAATTAGGCCTTTCCTAGGTTCTTTAATATTGTCACTTTTCTGTAAAATTTATAAACTTCTCCTTCAATTCTAATTGTTTCAGTTCAATCACTTAAAACTGAATTTTTGCCTGAGTTCTTTGTTTAATATGGCACGTATCATACAGGTGTTTGTGCGGCACTTTCCATTCTCACTATCCTAAAAACTACATTCAGATGCTTGGTAAATAACATTCAGATCATTAATAACAAAAACAAAAAATGGAAAAACTTCATACCTTTCAAATCATCAGTTTTTGATCCATCAGGGTCATTTTTACCCTAGAACACAATTAATGTGAAAATTACAAGTCTTAATTACTAGTATAAAAATTTTACATAAGCCTCGAGCCAAGATTGCTAAGCAGCTGTGGTTCGTTGTAGAATAAGCTGAGTAACATTGATTAAATATATGTTTTTCAAAAACTCTACTGAAAATTTAAATATATGAAATATGCTTTAGTTTAAAAGCCCTAAGTAATAAAAGGAAATCCCCTCATGTTTTATGCATTAAATCTCAACTTAGTTGATGTTCATCTTAGATTGACTTGCAACTTGAAGTACACAATAAGGGTAGTTTTTGGCTTGTGAGTACTGACTGGATACATAGAATTCATCAAGGGTCTTATGCCTGTAAGCTTCTACCATGTTACTGTAAAAACCCACACATAAACTGCCATTGCACATAGACAAGTCTGTAATAAGAGGCTTGTGGAATTAGGAAAAACAATTTATGGGTAGATTCATTTAACCTTGAGGAAGTTTGTCACATCTAAAACACAAAACACAAAAAGTCATTGAATCAAAGCAAAAACTCTTCTTCGTTTGAAACCAATCATAAGCAAAAAACAAGAAGACATTAACGATCTTATGAAACAAAAAATGCAAAATGATATGCAATGTGTCATATCAAAACTTTTCAAGTGCAAAGCAAAATGCAAAGTACAGCTTTAGGTTTTTTACAGTAAGCTAATTAATAAAAATTTTACTACAGTTTTCCTTACCTTAGTTTCTTCTTTCTGAACTAAAATGAAAATAACATAATAGTAATTATCTTATAAAATTAAAGCATAATAGACACCTGATAACCATTTTTCTAAAATATCCCTGTTACAATGCATAGAAATGTACATACCCTAAAATCTATACCCCTTAATCAAAATTTACAGGGAAAATCCAATGTGCACTGATATAGGATTGTTTTTTAACTACAAACAAAAAATATAATGAAATGAGAAACCTGGAATCCATTTGAAAATTTTCATTGTGCAGTTTGTTGGACCAATATGTACCCACTTCTTTTCCCTAAAAAAGTTGAATCATTTGAAAATGCAATGAACATCTTCTCAGTTTGGATGTTAAATGTTTGATTCATTTTCACTAAGAAGAAAACTGAGACTTTTGAAAACGTATGCGTATAGATACCACCTGACACCTGTTTGCATGATATAAAAAGAAATACAAAACAATATCATACCCAGGGTCTAGGGGTGCAGTGCAATCCAACTTATCAATGCGAAAAGGAACCAATTTTCACCTTCACTACTATTTTTTTGCAACATTTGCACTACTCCCAAAGATGCTCTAAAGGCGGTTACATTAAGAGGCAAGAAAAACATCTGGATTCTTTTGGGAGCTTGTTTTATGGAGCACCTGCAACTTGCTTAGAGCAAGGCCTTGCCATTAGAGCTTAGTCTCTAAGGTGCCCCATCAGTACTACCATGTTGGTCTTTGTAACATGAAAAATTCCTCGATTATGCAGCAAACCTACACTTTTCATTCGATTTGGAGAGGAACCGTCCATTCTAATATCAAGGGCCTTGCTGTTTGATCAGCAGGGCCTGTGCCACAGATTTGAAAGTGGGGGGGGGGGCAAGGCTAAAATGTTGAGGGCAAAGGCTTTATGTCTCTGTTATTGCAGCTTTTAAACTGCTTGCTTCCCAAAAAAGTGGGGGGGGGGGCATGGTGCAGACCCTGCTCAGGCTACTTTTCACGATAATAATCGTAGAATAAGCAACTACTTTGGGATGCTGTGATAACTCTCATATGGGAGTACCTTGGAAACCAAGTACTGCCTTTAAATTTGGTAAATTTGCCTCTTGAACTCCCTGCCAGGGCTTCAAGTGTTAATGCGCATGTCCAATGACCCTGGAATTGGGTCTTTTGAAGACAGGCATGATTCACATCCAGAACAAAATAGTCTTTTAGCTATTGTTATAATAGTTAAGACTAGTCTAAAGTAAAGAAAAATTTCTTAGCTGTTTTTGAAATTTCAAAAAAGGAGGCTGGAGGCTGGAGGCTGGATGGTTGATTGCTGATCTAGTTATTAAGTTAAAAACGGCCCTGTTTTTAACAAGTATTTTTAAAATGTTTACTTACCATTTTCTAACCTTCTCGATGGTGAGCATTGCTCGTTTAATCTCATCTTTATCTTTTGCTCGGCTTCTTGTTTCAAGTCGGAGTGAGCTTCTATTCATTCTGAGAATAAACGTTTCAGGTAAGTTTGTTTAATATGCTTTTTCAAAATCAACAATGTTCTGGTTAAGAAAGATGGAAGAATGACCTTAGGCCGTTTTCAAATTGAGTTGAATTGCTTTGAACATTGCTTCATGGGATAGCAAGCAGCTGTGGTCTGCACAGGGCCAGGGCCTGTGTAATGATTTCTTACGCTAAGCTAAGAGTAAAATTCGTCTTTAAATTTCATCTCTAAGATTTCAATTGGATCATTTGAAAACCTTGTTCAGAAATTGACTGGCGTGTTAATCGTCTGTAAACTGTCTCCGTTGAGATAATGATAACTTTTTTCTATAAGAGTTTATTGACAAATTTCTTAAAATGCACTTTCCTTTGCTAGATCAAGCCAAGCCTGTCACTTTTTCTCATAATTCCTATACGATCGCATCATTCACGATTACGTGCAGTGCAGCCAGGGGTGCCTACCCTGGAGGGGCTGAGGGGGCAATCAGTGCCCCAGAATATTCACTCCTATCTAAGAAAGGATTATAGAATGTTGTAGATAATTCATGACTTGTTTAGCCACTCTCGCTATGTCAATTTCTATTAAAAATCAAAATAAATTGAAACATTTCCCCTTTTTGCTCTTGGTCATTGATAACGGAAAATTCTTTTTCAGAAAATGCTTATAAACTTCAAAAACCAACTGTTCCTTTAAGATACTGACTAATTTGCCCACCATCAGAATAGGAATATTACGCCTAACTTATGCATTGAAATAAAAAACACACTGAAGTAAAAAATTATTTGATTTACATTTGAGTCTTGTAATTATTAGTTTCCATTTTACAATTGCAATGATTCTGCAATCATGGAGAGCCAGGCCATTTATGATTGCCATGATTTTCGTAAAACTAAAAATTTTGAATAATGACAAAGCGATTTAATATTTTGTCAACATTATGCCTATGTTTGGTGTCTTTGATTGCAAAAATCCTAGCTATATGGGTGGAACAGATCCATGTCAATATTTTACTTTGCACCCACCCCAACCCCTCACAAATAATTGATTATCGTAGTGGACAAATTACTATTACCATCCAGTAGTGGAAAAATACAGCCTTAATCTGTGCAGGTGCTCTGGTTGCAACACTGTTGCAGCGTTGGTAGTTTCCATATTGAAATCGTAGAGCTGCTTGGGACAGGAGTGCACTGGTTGCATGTTCAGCTTAGTCTTGCTTGGAAGTGATCGACAAGCTTTCATGGTCTCTGTACCTACCTACCATTCTGAAGATCAACGATTAAAGAATTTGCCAGAAATTTGAAATGGTGTGGGATATTCTTTTGACTTCAAAATCTAGCTACATTATCTGCCTTGATTTTGCAGGTCTGAATTGGGACAAATTTATGTCTTCTTATTTGCAAACAAGCAAAACGTTCGAGACATACGAAGGCTTTTAGAAAATTATTAATACAGAAACCATTCAGCACTCTTTTAACTTTCATTCTTTTTAGGTTTATTTTTGTATAATTCTGCTTGATGATAGCAGTTACTAGTATGTAAAATACGTTGTAATATCGTACTAATTACACTTGAAGATGATTGGTATAGGGAGGAATGGAGGCGCCTTGCAATAGCCTGTGCTCCAGACCCCTTCCTTCTACGTAGATAAAGAACTTTTGATTCGTAGTATTCTAAAAATCTTATATTTCAGTCAGAAAAGTGTCCTACAAAATGCTTGTTACTCTGCATGCTTGTTAGAAATCCAGGTTGATTGGTTAGAAAATCCAGATATTGGCATTTTCTAAGCTTGATTTGATTTGATTTTAATTATTTATACAGGGTAATACATTCAGTAATGAAAATATAATAACTGATTTGCAATGTGCACTGTCTAAAAACCTAAGCTAATTATCATACAATTACATAACAAAGATAAACGAAAATTATTATACAAGATATTAAAACTATTGTTATTAGGAAATAGATTATTAGGAAAGAAAAAATTAAAAAAAGTTTGATGTTGTACAAGAACTCTCACACCCTTTTGATTTTTCAATGATTGTTTCAGCAAATTTTTGAAAGTAGCCAGACTGCAGTTGCAGTTCCAAATTCGATCATTTCTTTTGTAGTTAACCACCCTAGGCTTCCAATCAATGAATGTGATAATGCATCGTAAGAGCTGTAAGAGCTATATTCCCCCCCCCCCACTTTTTTCGAAACATGGTCTACATACTTCGTCTAAAAACGGGTTAAAAAGCACTAGGTAGGGGTAGATCATATTTCCTAAGGAAATTTGTACCTGGTACAATGCACTGATGATTAGGGCGTGGTCTCAATTACCCTCCCCGCCTCGCCAGTAGCTGGCGCCGCCACTGCACGTACCATCGTATCTTTGCGCGGGAAAACAATCGCTCTGTTCTACTTTTTGTGCTAGAATTTCAGGAGTTTGCTAATGCGCAAACTACTATTCCCATATGAACAATGCAAGCATTAAGCCAAATAAGTAATCATTCTGTTTTTTGGACCATTTCACCTGTTTACACGGGAACGGAACGATTGCACACTGTTCCTCTTTTCGTATCAACATGCGCGCAAACCCTAAGCGACTCATTTTTTGGAATGGGACGATATGGAACGGAACGGGGCCAAACAGACAATGCAGCGATAAACATATAAATGGCCCCTCAAGTACTACGTTATTCTGAAAGTGGCCCTTCTGGTAATAAAGTTGGGCATCCCTGGTTTACAGTGTGCGTATGTTCCCTGTAGATTTTGCCATGTCTACATTTTCTTGTGAAAGAGCAATTTTTTATTTGGGTTAAACCATAATTTACCAAAAAAGTGTGTCTTAACCAAAAATTCGACGAATTCTGGGGGCACTGAATTTCCGCTACTGCTAATTCGTAACACATTTGATTGATTTTGCACATTTAGAGTTATTTTATGATGCTCTCTCAGGCTACGGGATCCAAATTAAAAAAAAAATTAAAAATAGATTTTTACGACGTCATCACTTCAGAACTCCATTGGCATTATAATGTTTGTGGAAATAATTTCACCAATAGCGAACACAATTTATTTCCGCATTCATTTCTACTTATTGTCACAATTTTTCCTTATTCAGATGATTTCCTTAGCAACCCAGAAATTAAATCAGAAGGCTTTAACGTCTCATCGTTCAGAGAAATCAGGGGGTTCCTTAGTACTCAAGTTCGTTGACGCACAGTTTATTCTCATTCTTCTGAAGACATCTATTTTCACTAATTTTTCTTTTGATTACAGATGAACGTGGCTACCACAACAGCGATAAATGGTCATACCACACCAATCGTCTTTTCATCGGTTTAGGCCACCGCTTTTATCTAAGCTTCACGGTTTCTGGACTTTTAAAAGCCGCCACTATATAGGGGGAGAAGCCACCAATCAATAAGCAAAATAGTGCAGTGTGCAAGGAAGGCATGATTTGAGTCCATCTGTGCAAAAGAAGTTGAAATGCTTTTGAAATTGAATAGGTAACATGTCTTTTGGCAGTTGAGCGTTCACTAGTCCTAGACGACAACCAGTGATACGTTAACACAGTCAAAATCTATAAAAAAATACAGTCAAAAAACATTTGGATATCCTTACGACCGATAGAATAGAAATATATCACGATAAGTGCTTCAATTTGGAAGAATTTGTCCATTTTTTGGAAATTTTGGTCGTCTGGAAGAAGAAAAGAGGAAATTGAAAATTAGAATTAATTTGCAAAGGTCAGACGCTTTATTTGGCTTAGAAAGTGTCCTTTATTTGTACAGGAACAGGCTTGTAGGTTTCTCAGAGAAAGAAGTGCTCAGTTGCAACAAAAGGATTGATATTTCTTTAAACTTTTACTACGTCGGTTCAAAGATTCTTGATCAATGCTGCAAGATTGGCAAAGAATTTGATTAGAGGAGATTGAAACAAGGAAATGAGTTTCATTTACGAGTATTTATCTCTTTTCACTGGTTTTACAGAAATATGCCTCCTCAAAAAATTGTTTTAACCTTTGACTTAATGTAAAATTCTTTATTATCTTGTGCAGGACTATTATTTTGTTGGGGTAGAACAAGGGGCCAGTTGTCCTCAAAACAAATGATTATTCCACATATTTTCTTTAAATGATACATGGATTCGACAAAGAACTGAGAGGTCTGGCCTAGACGAAGGTTTAATTCATTTGAAAATTGAAATGTCTACTCAAGGTCACCTGTTATACACACATGGCCTTTAAGGAGCGGATTCACAAGACAGAAAACTAAGGAGAGGGGCAAAAAGGCTGCTGTCTAAATCTGAGAACAACCTTCTGGATGCAAGATATCTTTTTATTTGCAGCACTCTGGAATATCGTCAATCTTCATTGAAGAGAACTTTCTACGCTAGGTGTGAGGATAGCTCATCATGCTACAGGCTGTAGTCTACAGACCTAACGGTCTTTGGATATAGCCTCTCACTTGACCAAACTGTATTTACAATCACTCACTTGATTTCACCAGCTCTCTCTTATTCTATCGATCATTTGTATTTATTTGGAAAGGTGCTGGTGCAGATTAATTTAGGGCCTTGTCAAAGGTTCCAAGGAGCATGGCCCTACAAAATTCTTATAGGCTGAATCAATATGGACTAAAAACTTTACTAACAGTGTTACATTATTTGTTGACATTGCAGGCTTTAGGCAATTCACAACTCCAAGATAATGCAAAAAATATATTAGTGAAAATGTCAATAACATTAGAATTGATTTTCTTAGCACATTAACATTCTTTTATTGCAAAAACATTTTTCAATAATGGCGAGAAGCACTAGATTATTTTTTTCACAACAGTCTAATTACGAAAAAAATAAAGGGCTGACGTAGTTTGTTGACCAAAAATGTAATTAGGATTTTAATCTCTGTGTCACATGCTGTTCTGTTTATACAATTCTCTAAACAATTCTTACAAGCCAACAAACTTACGTAAGCATTATCAATTGAAAGGGGACGCCTACTGTTCGTGGGCACCCAATATGCGTATTTTATCCCACACAATCATTGGTGCTGCGTCATCAAAACTGGTACTTGCTTAGGTCTTTGTGTATTCCTGTATTCCTCCTGATCAGTTTCTTAGAAAAGGATTCGGCAATTAAATTGCAAAACTGCAGTTAAATTTCAAAGTACACAACTGCAGTAAAAAACGGGGAAAAGGCATTTCATTATTACAAGTTGGATAGATAGTTTAGGAAAAGCTGTATAGCTAGATAAACTAGCTGAGAGAGAGAGCTAAAACCCTTCCCTCTTCCATCAAAGAAAGAATAGTAAAGGATTTTTAGATGAATTTCACGAGCTTGATTTGCCTCAACAATTTTACCAATTAAAGTTACAAGAAGGGGCGGACTTTCAATTCAGACAATTTGGTAACACATATGAAAGGTGGAAAAGTATTCCACCATCAAGCGGCAAATAGTTCTCCTTTTTGAGTCCACAAAGGGTTGCCCTTTTGGAAGAAAATTTACTGGAGAGCTCAATTGTAGCTTTGTAAACATATTTCGAGGGGCTTACATGGAGCATGTCTTAAAACGTAATGTTGCAAAGGAATGACAAAAAGGTCTAATAAAGCAGCAAATTGTTAAACCTTCATGCAATTTTAGTCGAAAAATAATTCCGGTGTTCCTAATATATTTTTGACGAGGATAAGTTGAATCAACTGGAGATGGAGAAAGAAGGAAAGCAGTGGTAGCAGGCATTGTGGGAAAAGTGGGGCTGACAAGGGTAGTACTGTTTGAGCAAAAAGTAAGAAAAAAAGAAACTAACCTGATTAGCAAGGTGTGGAGAATACCGCTGATAGGTAGAAGATCAACGAAAAGACACGAACTATGACCAATGGAAAAACAGGGTCTGAAAAGTTGACCCCAGCAGTTTGGATAAAGGCCCTGACTACTAGAGAAACAAAGCAGCTTTCTTTTGAAGGTCCACTAGCTTTCAAAATTTACATCAAATAAAAAAGCACAGTTGAAATCGATGTCGTCGTTTTCACATTTAATAACGAAGAAAACTTAGATGTCATGAGGAGCGTGAGAATAAAGCTTTGGATTTTATAAAGGTGTTTTTATATATATTAGTTTTACTCAAATGATGTGAAGTACCATGAATCCGAGTTTTGTCAACAAACCTTGACCCTGATGTGCATATGCTTATGATGTACTTAATCATTGTTTCTGACAAATGGATAGCAAAATAACCCTAAACGAAGGGGAATCTAGATTCGTATCCCCTAAAACTAATGTTTAGGATTATGGCTGATTAAGGTAAATTGAGAAGATGTGTCAACGTAATGCTTAGAAATTGCGATAAAAGAAATCTTTACATATATCGATAGCAAATGGATAGCAAAATAACCCTAAACCAAGGGGAATCTAGATTCGTATCCCCTAAAACTAATGTTTAGGATTATGGCTGATTAAGGTAAATTGAGAAGATTTGTCAACGTAATGCTTAGAAATTGCGATAAAAGAAATCTTTACATATATCGATAGCAAATGGATAGCAAAATAACCCTAAACCAAGGGAAATCTAGATTCGTATCCCCTAAAACTAATGTTTAGGATTATAGCTGATTAAGGTAAATTGAGAAAATGTGTCAACGTAATGCTTAGAAATTGCGATAAAAGAAATCTTTACATATATCGATAGCAAATGGATAGCAAAATAACCCTAAACCAAGGGGAATCTAGATTCGTATCCCGTAAAACTAATGTTTAGCATTATGGCTGATTTAGGTAAATTGAGAAGATGTGTCAACGTAATGCTTAGAAATTGCGATAAAAGAAATCTTTACATATATCGATAGCAAATGGATAGCAAAATAACCCTAAGCCAAGGGAAATCTAGATTTGTATCCCCTAAAACTAATGTTTAGGATTATAGCTGATTAAGGTAAATTGAGAAAATGTGTCAACGTAATGCTTAGAAATTGCGATAAAAGAAATCTTTGCATATATCGATAGCAAATGGATAGCAAAATAACCCTAAACCAAGGGGAATCTAGATTCGTATCCCCTAAAACTAATGTTTAGCATTATGGCTGATTAAGGTAAATTGAGAAAATGTGTCAACGTAATGCTTAGAAATTGCGATAAAAGAAATCTTTACATATATCGATAGCAAATGGATAGCAAAATAACCCTAAACCAAGGGGAATCTAGATTCGTATCCCCTAAAACTAATGTTTAGGATTATAGCTGATTAAGGTAAATTGAGAAAATGTGTCAACGTAATGCTTAGAAATTGCGATAAAAGAAATCTTTACATATATCGATAGCAAATGGATAGCAAAATAACCCTAAACCAAGGGGAATCTAGATTCGTATCCCCTAAAACTAATGTTTAGCATTATGGCTGATTAAGGTAAATTGAGAAGATGTGTCAACGTAATGCTTAGAAATTGCGATAAAAGAAATCTTTACATATAAATTAACTAATTTTCAACAGGTTTAGCTCAGACTTGTCTGTGACATAGTTCAATGGCTTTCAAAAAGACTATATTAACATAGATGAAGATGTAAACACTAGAAAGTAACTGTTCTAAAAATATTCTTTTTATAGAAGAAAATTCTCTTGAGAGACCCGAAGAAATGACTTACACTTGAAAAATGAGGGAAACAAGTGTTTTAGAACGAGGCTGAAACGTCAATTTCCTTTAAGTAACACCCCAAGCAATGATTTCATACTTAAAATGAGAAAAAATTTTTAGAAAGTTCACATAGGCAATAGCACCAATATAGTTTGCATTCATTGAAATGTTACCAAATTTATGAAACAATTTCTGAATGGTATTGGAGAAGAGGCATGATACTTCCTGCCCCTAATTTCCCAAGGTGCCTGATACCTCCAGAGCAATAGATTTACCTAATAAGAAATAATGTTTCATTAGATTATAAGTATTACGATGGAAATGCAACTTGCACTGAGGCTTTGTAGACAACTTTGGAAATAGATAATACTTTAGACTACCAACGACTCTTAGAATATAATTTTAATGTTCCAGTAAAAAGATATTTCTAGCATACGCCTATCTGGCTTATAACTGCTTTGAAGTTTTTTACAAAATTCATTGCACTAAAAATTGTATGAGTCACCTTATGAGTCACCAAACAGTTGCTCAAAATGTCCTGGTGCTAATTACAGTCATCAATATATCCTCATGGGAAAGTTTAATCTTTGATTCCAACCCAATTTCCTTCCGCATATCATAATATATAAATGTGCCAATAAATGATTAAACTTGAATTGCTACAAGGAACTCGGAAAGTAGCAGAGTGCAAAAACAACTGCTGTGGAAGGTATGTAAGAATTATTTGATCTACTCTATGTATCGTTACTTTTCGTATTCTTTGAGCTTTTCACTCTTCAGGTTTTTTAACATATAACAAAAGTTGTAATGAAAGTACATTTTTTTCAAACGCTGTAATCTTTGTCAACACGGGGTCAAGTAATACCTATTTTCCGATAAGCCAGTGGAACTGAATCTGATGAATTGTAGAGGTCACATTATGCTGATGATTTCCTTTTGATGTTTTAAACAGGGTTTTCTCGTCTATTTTTAAATCCGGTTTAATGCAGCTAATTTATCAAGTTGTAAGCACAGTGCATCCTTGATTAAGGGAACCTCGGTTATCTAAGCTTTAATTGACTGTTGGCTTTTCCTTCCTCGAGCAAATGTTCATTTATCCCATTGACTGGCTCATTTGCCCTACTTTGATCCACATACCACACAGGGACCAAAAATTTCCAAAATATACTTAAAAAGACACAAAAATTGCCCTACTCTTGGTTTTTAGTATGTTTAGTCCCTTCTAAACCTTTTCAGATCCCGCAATATGTAATATGGTCCGTAGTCCTTGATACCACATACTGATCCAAAGAAAATTTAATGTAGATATTCCTTCTTTGTAACCCTCAACCACAAAGCCCTGCCTCAAAATTACTCCATTATATGCTGATGCATACAGTAAAGAAAATGTTTTTAAAACTAGTGTCAAGCATAACGTTTCTACACTTTAACTGTAAGTGACAATAACAGATAACAAAATATTACTATTACTACATTACTGAATTATTACAATAGTATGATGCTACAGCCTTGCTACAAGCACAATACTACAGAGATATTGCTAATTGGAGATTTTAAAGTTTACTAATGGATTGCAGTTATTTTAGCTTGGTACATTAATTTATGAACAGAGACTAAAGTACAGTAATATGATGGGGAAAAGAGCTTGTATTCATGTGGCCATATCTCAATGAATTTCCAAAGATCTAGCTCATTCCATACAATTATGCTTTTTCAGGCCATGTGTTCCATTGTCAGAAATTCTGAAAACAGATTTCACCACCTTTTTGAATCTTATTTGGCCAGTGCTCTACTTTCCAAAAACGGGATAATCTGAGTTTCCCCTCTTTGTGTGTCCAGCAAAATTCTTGCTAAGATAATTTTTTTTTTCTACTTTTGTCCAAATTTATTTTTGTGAAATCTAAAATTCCTTATATCTTTCTTTATCTGTATTTCGGGATAGTGGTCGAAGAAACTTGGAATTGCAAAATTCTCACTCAGCTTTTGCCATAAATATGACACTTTTGCCATAAAAATGAAAACCCAACACACAGAAGGAAACAGTATAATTCAGGGAGTGATGCGCTGAACAAAAATTACGAAATTTGAAAATCAACGAACATAACTCATTTTTTAGTAATATTCTCCGTTGTCAGTCATTTACGATGTCATTGTTTTCAAATTTTTCATTTTAGCTTTGTGCTTCGGCAATAGATTCGTTATAAAATTTTTCCGCTTTAAAAATTTTTTTTCAAAAGGCTACTTTTCTACCATTTTCCATCTTGCAAATTTCTTCACTTTCTAGAATTTTAGTATGGTAGAAAAGGATCTTTTGAAGGTTTGAGAGAAAAACTGACCCCCAATATAACATGAATTGGAAAATTCAACTCCAAAATTTGATTTTTTTTAAGGAAATTGAAGGAATAAGCCGCTAAAACATACGAATCCCATGTCTCACACACGTTTCCATTAGCTCAATTTCTGCCACTATATGGATGGAAATTTGGGACTGAGTTTTACTGGGAAGAGAAAACTCGAAGTTTACCGACAAGATTCACATGGAATTACTTATAAAGGCTTGGCGCTTGAAACAGATTAAGGCCAGTTTATTCGCTCTGAAGCATGCGCCAATCAAACTTCTTCGTTCGCTGCGAATGCGCGACCATTCGCTGGTTAGTTTAACTCAGTTGAACTAGACTACTGAGCTTATGGTCGCGTTCGCTGACTCGCCAAAGGCAGAGCGAATCAAGCGAAAACCGGCCTTTATCCGAGAAGCGGAGGCTTGCTTTCGTCAGCAGAATGTTTATGGCAGCTCCCTAGTTTCGATGGTTTCGTAACAACATCACCTTCTTCTGGCAAAAGGCCCTTTTTAGACAACTTGATTTCACAAGATGGACATGTTTGTCCATTTATGCTACAAGATCATTTCTGGTTTGAAAAAATGGCTGATGCTCAGTTTGAACGGATTGTTTGAAAATAACTTTTGAAAAAGCCGTTAGTTTTGGCTAATTTTGACTTGGTGAGGATATTTATAATTGGCAAAATTTATAAATGACTCAATATGCTTAATTTTTAACATTACAGTACAGAATAAAATTGGAGTAAAACGATGATGCCATTGAGATATCATATCAATATTCTGAAATTTTTAACATTCGATCAAAAAACGCAAAAAGCTTTTAGATATGCACAGGCCACAATTTATTGAAAATTTTGTCGTATTTTTACGGTGATTCTCAACTTTGAGCGTCTATATCTGGAAAACGAGCTAAGCTTTTCGAAAAAAAATTTCACGATGGCTTCTTTTTCTCGACTAACTACCAATTTATGCAAAAAATCTCAGAAAAAATTTTTGGGCTGGAGTGGCCCTTTAAAAATTGCTCATTATATGGTTTGGTGTTAGAAGTTAAGGCATAGGACAAAAAACGGCCATTTGATTGCAAGAAAATTTGTGCTACTTTTGCCATATCTAAACCAAGAAACAAATAATTCCATTCCAGATTATTGTCAGAGTTCAGAACCTCTTTTCTAGTACATATTTTGAGAGGCTAAAAGCAAACTTTCTTAGGAAATTTTGACAAAGTTGGACAATTTTTAAAATTTCTTGACAAATTTGATGCTCGAGAATGCTAAAGCCCCTTCTTGCCAACCGTCTTTCCCAAGTCTTTCATTGAAACTGCCTATAACATATTTTGAAACATCATCAGATAAACACAAGCGCTGTACTGCAATTGATACTGGATTTGTTAGGGAAATTCAGATATCTATGAAAGGAAATGTTTTTTTTGTGTTATTTTTTCAGTTTTGATAGCTGCCTCGAAGTTTCTTTAAATATTTAACTTTTTCATATAGGTGTCAATTTGTATCATTGGCTGGTTTGAGAAACAATAAAGCAGCCAGGCAAAATGACGTTATTCCTCGTCCGCAAGTTTTATCTGTTGGCTGTAGTGATGGTGCAAGTTTATGGAAAAGACCCAAATTACCGCAACATATTTTACCAAACAACAAAAGAAGTTCAGAATGAGGAGCTTTCAAATATTCAAGGAAAAATCCCTGCTTGGATTGATGGAGATTTCGTTCGTCAAAATTGTGCCTCGTATGGTGATATTGATGGTAAGTTGATGTCATGATTTATGTTTGATTATAAGATTTATGTTTGATGTTGAGATTTATGTTTGATGCTAAAATTTATGTTTGATGTTAAGATTTATGTTTGATGCTAAGATTTATGTTTGATGCTAAGATTTATGCTTGTTTTCAAGATAATTCATGTTTTATGTCAGGATTTGTGTTTCATGTTAAGATTAATGTTTGATGACAAAATTCATTATTGATGTCAAGATTTTTTATGGATGTCAAGATGTTGGATGGCGATATCTCTGATCTGCCTTTAAGTAAACTTGATACGGTTTAGTTTTATTTGATTACAATGACTGTGATTGTGACACGCTTCAAATTGTCTTTACAAAGGCCTTACGGCTCTACTCTCAAGTAATCCATCTCGACCTCGTTTTGGTATTGAAAAAATTTGATAGCTCCAAAAGAACATGGATATGCAATTTCACAAATATTTGATCTGACTTTCGAAATTGTGACTTTGCTCACAAAATGGATATTTACAAGAAAACACCTTTACCTCAATTTACGTAAAACTGCAAGCAAAAAATTATTCGTAGCTCAAATTTTGAAATGTTATTACTTATATCTAAAGAATTGTATAAAATGAAAAAGCCGAACAAGTTAACGACCAGCATGTTGAATTTCATTAGTTGAGATATTTGAAGTGTGGTTGCATATTATAACATGATTGTTTCTTCTAGGTAGATCTACGTTGATATAAAAGCAACGTGCAGCACTGAACTTCAGATATAAAGTAAACGTTGGAATTGTTTAGCAAAGGCCCTATCAGCATATTTTCTATTCTTAGGATCAAGAAATGACTGGATACCACACATGTTTGATTGCATTTCCATGGTCGGACGCTATGAGTTCAAAGGTGGCAAAATAAGATATTCTAATAGATTATATGATACGAAGGAAACACGCATTTGGAAACACTACAATTACAGTATAGCAAAGTCCAAAGTTGGCTGGAATACAGTTTTTTCTACAATAAATGCGTCTGCATACTTGAAAAACATGAGGATGCAATACAACGAGACATTGCATACCACACCAAACATTGTATTCTGGCAGTCACGGCCTGAAGATCCAGTCTTTGCTATGACGGAATCAGTGTACAGTGCAGCAGAACTCAAAGTCACGCCAGAGCTCGATGTACTTGGTAGCTATCTAGGAAAGTTTCACGATAAAGGATTTCCCAACAGTTCTACTCACGACTTTGTTATCAGTCCTGCGCATGAACAGCGAGAAAAAGATGGAACAATCTGGCATTCAACTATTGACATTGAAAGAGCCTCTCCAAAAAAGTTTGATGACTTGGAAGCAGCCATCATTGTTTACAAAATGAAAGGGCCTAACCGCACTGTAACAGGTCGTCATGTCCTTGGAAAGTACAATCTTTCAAAATGTCGTCTAGGACTGGGTCTAGATGACATAAATATCATGCCAGGGTATCATCACTACATGGAAACAACAAGCAACTATGCAATTGTCCCAATGTCTTCCTATCTCTTTGACTACTGCCAACACTATATGAACATAAACATGAGAAGGATACTCGGTCTTTTTCCACGCTCTTTCAAATTCTACCCAAACTTCAACTCGAGCCTTCTTCTTTTTGATCGAAGCAACATGTCAAATGTGCACAGAGTATTTCTTCCATTTGCTAGATTCTTCACTCATAGTGTGAATGCCTTTGAAGATCTTAACTACATCTACCTAGATACCATAGCCTACCATAATACTGACCTTTACGAGAAAGCTTTTTCACTTTATGAGGCTATGAATGGCTACACGTTGAACACATATTTTATTCGCATTGCCATTAACAAGAATACATGGTCTTATGATTCTTCTTTGAGTGGCTCTCTCACTCAAACTGAGCCCTATGGAAAAGCAGAATTCACACAGATAAATTACGATAAATTTCATAACAAAGACTACACATACACTTACTTCCTGAGCAACCCGGTAAATCCAGAACCTCGCATTGCTAAGCTAAACGTGAAGACAAAAAATATAACTTACTGGGTTCCACCAGTTGGGTATTATCCGCAAGAGCCTGTATTTTTGCAACCGGACGACGCGGTGGGTGAAGATGAAGGCGTAATTTTATGTTCCGGTCCTGTTTCTGATACAATACCATCTTCAAGCTTCCTAGCTGTTCTCAATGCAACGGACATGAAGCTTATTGCAATGGTGAAGAATCCCAATACTGGCTTAATAAGTCTTCATAACAGATTTTACAAGTCACGTGTCCCAGCAACAAAAGCGCCAGCAACAACAGTTAAAACCAAACCAAAAACAACCCAGTCATCACCTGGAGTTTCTCTTTCCATTGTACAGAGCATCTGGATTGTTGCCAGTTATAAACTTTTACGGTTTTTGTTGTAGTCAAACTTGAAAAGATGTAGCTCACAAAGTATTCTTTATTTATTTATAATTAATATCTCCCGGTTTGTTAGAATGTTCAGAGTTTAGTTGATTCAAAGAATTCGAATTTTTTTTGTCAACAGTTCTGTGAAAGGTTCAACAAAAAAATTAAGATTCAAAAGATGATTCTATAATTTTGGTCTTTGCGACAAATTGCAGAATAAGTTTACTCTCACAGAATTAATTAACATATTGTGTGCGGGGACCTTTCTCTTTTTCTTTCAAGATAATATTTAGATTTCGCACTGGGAAATATTAGTAAATGCACTTTGACATATTTTTTTAACTGTATGTAGTTATATTTAATTGGTTTTAATCTCCTAACAATCAATCTGATGAATTGTTGAACTTATAATTTGCAGTGGCTTTTGTCATGAGTTAAAGCAGTCATAATTAGTAAAGATTTAAAGATATTTGAGGAGATATACAGATCTAAACATATTTGAGAATTTATTGACTCCCCTCCCAAAAGTATTCGAACGGAAGCCAATATTGCGAAGGTCAAGTTGATGAAAACAAAAATAAAAGTTAATTGCTTATATTTATAGAATGACGATAGGAATCACCTCAACATTTCAGGCAATCATAAAGAGAAGTTTAAATTACACAATTTTCAATTCTAAGTCCATAATTCATTTTATCAATGGAATAACTTTAATATTTGGTGGGGGTACTCATGAGACAAAAGGGTAGTATAGAGGCGGCCAGGAAATTACCTTCGTAAATTTTTGATGAAATGGAGAAGAATAATGTTACAAATTTCAAAGGTTTTATCAATTAATTGCTGCTTGGTCTTCAGAGGATCTCTATTCGTTGAATCTTTTACAAAAAATCAAAGAAGCGATAGCATTTTCAATTACTTTCGGGTCTGGACTTTGAGAAGGCCCTGGAATAGTGAGGATTCAGCTGGCAGCAGAATAATCGCTTGTATCCTTAGTTGTATGACATGGAGAATTGTCTCGATGAAAGAAAAAAGGCTCATTGATATGATTGTCAATTTTTCTGGCACTTTCGGGGAGGTTTTTTGGAAGATGACAACATAATATGCGGCGTTCAGCAAACACTCCAGAAGAACAAGATGGCGACGCCATTAGGCCTAACACAACCCTAGACCATCACTGAAATTTTTCCCTTTCTTACATTTTGCTGAAATAACTTTTGATTATTTCCTTTTCCAGTTGTTTTTTCGGATTGAGAATGCTTCAGAGTCATTCTTTAACAAAATCTACACTCATTCAAGAAGACATTATCGCCCCGGTCGGCGATAGGTCGTTCCTTTATAACTTTAACTTTGTTTTGCCGGTGGGTGCGGATATTTGGTAAAAATCAAGTTTTCTTCTTAGGGCACAATTTATAATTCCGTATTGCGAAAGAGTATGCCTAATTTAATTGTTGAGCCGATTTTGGTCACAAAGCTTTAAAGTTACTTGCTATTTTCACTCCTTTGAAGTTGACAAACAAGTTTCTTCGCAAACCCTGCTTCAATTCGTTGGTTGCTATATGAAACCTTTTTTGACCTGCCTGTTCTCAACTTTTTCTCCAGTAAACTGCTTTTTTACTTAAGTTGCAAATTCTTTGGGTAGTAGACTTCGTGTAGCCCACTTGCTGTGCAATTTTATCATATTTGCATAGCTTCATCCATATTTTGTGTTTTTACCAGTGCCCAAGGATAAAATTTTTTGCGCTATTGAGAAAAATTTTCCCAGTAAACTTTTTCAAAACAAAATTTTTGCTTTTCTATATATTCATTTTGCTTATTTTCTGACGCCATCGTTTTATTGTGCCACCAAAACTTGATCCTACTTTTTTACTAACATGGCATTTGTAAGAATTAGGCCCTATAATTTTGCCCGACCGTTCGAATACTTTTGGGAGGGGAGTGTACTCCAAATTTAGTGATGATGGCGGCAATCTAAGTGTCACTATGCTGTGATTGTTGAACCCATAGCAAAAAAGGGCAGAAGTGAAATATGAATATAAACTTTATCAACATGTCAAACTTTTAATTAGCTTGTATAATTTCATGTATTAACTTCAAAACACGAATTCTGGAGGCTAGGATTTTGCTTTTTTAAATATGACGGAAAGAAAAAATTGCCGATCTTGAATGCAACTCGAGTCTGTTGAAATTCTTGAGAGGGAACTCGATGTACAGGAAAAATATGGCTGCAGGAGTTGCCTGAGATTTTATAATGTGAAGGCTACGTCAAGGAAGACCAGCCGGAAAGAAGATTGCATTAAGATTTTCAAAGATGTATTAGATGAAATGCAGTGTGGCTTAGACGCCAGCGCAATCGATCGAGCGCACAGAATTGGCGCAATAGTGGAGGACAAAACGGCAAGAAATATCAAAAGGTAATTGTCAAATTCAGGTCATTCTGTGATCGTACAGAAAGTACTGAGAAAGGAAAAAGGCAAAATCAATAACCATTAGAGTTGATTTGACAAAAAGAAGATTGAGACTCCTCGATAAAGCGAAAGAACTGGAAAAAGCAACGAAAACATCGAATCTGCCTTTGCGGATATTAACTGTAATCTGGGTCTAAGAACAAAAACTGGCAAATTAATTTTCTTCAACTCGCCTAAAGAACTTGAAAGAAAGCTCCGTCCAAATAAGTAATGTTGTTTCGTTTTATTTTTGAGACATTAAGGGGGGCCGAATGGTGGAGGCAAATTAGGTAAACTGCTCCATCTTTTTATGATGGCTACACTCGGACCCGGACCAATCACTCATTCCACCATTTGCTATGTTGTTGTTCGCATTCTTTGCTTTATCATTCTTTGTCAATAAAGATCAAACGAAAGAAATCATCCAACAAACCACTCAAATTATGTCCTTTCAGCTCAATTCATTGACAACTTAAAACATAATTCTTTAAAAACATATTTCACAAGCCCTGCTGCACGTAAAAAGATGCCGAATCACGATTCCTTTTATTTGTTTCCACTTGAAATTTTTCCTTGTTGTTTTTCAATTTTCTCGTATGCTGCGCTAAAAAGAATCTATTTCTCTACATTAATTATCATACAAACCCCAGTGGCAACCACGCAGCTGTAGGTGTTGGCTAGGGGAGGGGGCAAACTCGAGCAAGAACCATACCTCAGGGGGGGCAGGCTTTAAAACAAGAAAACAGATATATAACAAACAGATATATTTGGACAAAATCAAGGTCATGGAATTACAAATATGCCAAATTTTCAAAATATCATTTGGAAAAACTGTAGCCAGAGGGGGCAAGCTGTTGTCAAAATTTTCATTTGGAGGGGAAAACCCCCGAGCCCCCCTGCAGCTACGTGGCTGCCCAGTGGTAGAAAGTTTGACCAAAGAGATCTTCCAAGATTTGAATGCCCATATGAGCTGAATAGTGGCGTGCAGGAATTGCCTGTATAAGACTTTCTCTATTAAAAATACCATCTGTTACTTTGTCAGTATACGAAACTGTATACCTTGTATTACCCTGGGTACCAGAGCCGCAAAAATTAAAATTAAAAAATTATGAGAGAACCTTGTATGCACTGTACTTATAAACTTATCCTAATTTGTTGCTCTCTCGATTCTTACACTTCCCTTGTTTTTAATAATCCCTTTCCAGCTCAACCTATACCCAGATCCTTATATCATACTCTCTGGAAAATGTCAGCATACTAGAAAGAATGAAAACAAACATCTTGGAGTAATTTTAGATTCTAAACTAAACTTTCAGTCATAGGTTAGAGAAGCTCTGTAATAAAAGCTAGGAGGGACATTGGCCTCATAAAATACCTCTCAAAATATTTTTCTAGAGATGTTCTAGATCAAGTTTACGTTAGGCCCCACCTAGACTATGGAGACAATATATCACAGGTTTGACCCAGATATGAGAAGCACTGTCACAAAAAGCATTGAACAAGCTCAGTATACGGCGGCTCTGGGTGTCACAGATACCTGGGAAGGGACCAGCAGGCAAAAAATATTTTAGGAATTTGGATGGGAGTCTATGTATGACAGAAGATGGTATCGAAGACTATGCCATTTTTCCAGTTAAGACAATCAAAAACACCTGAATTTCTGTTTAATGGAGTTCCTCCTGAGCGACAAATACCTTTTTGGATTCGAAACCCACAAAATTATGTTTAAAGTATAGAAAAATATCATACAAGGCACACGAAAAAGCGTACTCCACAATCCTTTCCTTTTCAATAGTAAATCAACATTGTTCTTAGGGGGAGAGGGGGGTGGCTGAATTTGCCTTTGAAAGTGTTCCAAGACTATTGACAGTGATGATCTACCTCTGAAAAATGTAAATTATGTAAAAATTGTGTGTGTAACTTTTTCTAGAGGTACTTTATTCTTACTGATTTAGTTTCTTTTACTTCTCTCCCCTTTTTTGCGTTGATATTTAGAGGTAATTGAAAATTGTAAATGTCACTCATAATGGAGGCTAGATGACACTATTATGAGCGGTATGTATTTGAGTAGCCTTGGTTGTAGTTTAAACTTTTAAATGATGAAAAAAAGATAAACAGCCCGAGATCGATAGGAAATGTTGTCTTTTCTTTGGAAACTCTTCTCAACCAGTGGCGGATGGAATAAAGAGTTACACGAAAGAAGAAAAGGACAAATGTGCCGAATTTTAGAGCTAGAAATGAGTAGCAGAATCCAAATAAACTTTTGTTTGAAAATCTTACAAAAATAAAAGCAGAAATGCGAGAAACCATTTTAAGGTTAAATTCTTTGAGAGATGGAGTATAATGCTTTTTCAAGAAATGCGGTCAAAGCTCAATATATAAATTTTTGTGACGTTATCACTTCGTAACTCTATTGTCGAATTTTCCTGTTGATGCCATTTGCTTCACTGCGTTCGTGTGGCACTTTATTTCCGCATGACAAAGAAGGTAATTATTTGAGTAATTCTTTCAATGGACCAATTAAATCCTTCTCTTTCTAACATTCCTGTTTCCAGTTCCCTTTCAATGAAAAAGATAAAGGATGTGATCATTTTATTTGAAATCTTTTTTAACGTAGTTGAACATATTTGTATGAGATACTACTCAAGTTGTAGTAAAAGCATTCAAACGCTACGGTTGTTACGAAAATATGGTGTAAATAATATTTATGCCCTGTAGCAAGTAAAAATGAGTTTTATAAAATCTCATCGTTTTAGTAAGCTGTTTAATATTCCTTTGACACTTGATCATTTGATGACACCTGACACTTTCGACAAAAGTTTCAATAATATACTAAATATACAGAAAGGCTCACGCCACTGATTCAAAACTAGAGAGGCCAGAAAGAAAGTTTCCTTCTAACAGGGCCCGCGCCACGAATTTGAAAGGGGGGGGGGGCAAAGCTAAAAAAGTAGGGGGCCAAGGCTTTTCACCCCTTTTACAGCAGCTTTAAAACTACTTGCTCTGCAAAAGAGAGGGGGGCATGGCCACCCCGGTCACAGGGTGGCGTGGGCCCTGCTTAACCACCCATCCCTCCGTTGTGGCAAATGATTTTGTTGACGTCTTTTTCCTATTGAACTTTAGTTCAATATGTTTGTTGTAATTTATAGATTTATCCATATAAACATTTTTGACTGATATGAATCTTTCATTTATCGATAAAGCGGGACGGCCATGGCCTCATGGCCTTCTGTAGCGTGGACCCTGTATAGACTTATTCTCCACTAAGTTTTTAACTAGCTATAACATTTGATAATTTATATAAAGCTTTTTTAAAAGGGTAGTCTTGTTTTTAATGACTTTGTCAAATAAGCAGAAACATGCAGTAGAAGTAGTCCTTCAGAGATCTGATCACTTTTAATTTCACTATTTTTTATAAGAATTCAAAAAATTTTCATTCATAATAAGAAGTTTTCGTTTTTAACTCGAGTATCTTCTTGATTTATTATAATTTTTTTCCGAGTCAGACATGGTTTCAGGGGAACATGGTTAAAAGCAATTTCTTGTTGTTGAGATAAACAAAAGGAAGTGTCTCCAGCCCTCAGACTTTATTAGCTATTTCCTAAATTCAGCACTAAAACTTTCTTAACACTTTCTTAACACAAGATTGGAAAGTTTTACGTGACTAAGCATGCGCAGTGATGGAGGAGATGATATGCTATAAATATGCTTTCTTTCTCAAAACCCTCAACGTATAAATATGCTTTCTTACAACACAATTTCCTTAAAATTTTGAATATCTTGAATTTTCAACTTTCATAGCTTTCAATGATCCAGCCCTGTACCTTTTGAACTCTTCAAAGAACCGAGCACAATCTTCTTATAACATACTTTCTTATAAAAAACCGTGTATATCTGAAACACGTTACTTGTACCCATGTCAGCTTCTGCTGTCCAAATACAATGCCAAGCGATTTTTGCAGAAGAGAAAAATAGTCAAGGTGTAGATTGAATATTTCACGTATAAAAAACAAAATAGAAAGCAGTTGCCCGACTGACATAGCGGTAACGAAGTGTATTACAAACTGCAATGTGATGAAGAAGACTTTCAAGCGATGAAGTCATAAAAATCGATTTTCAGATATTCTTGATTTTGACCATATAACCCTGAAGCATCATAAAATTCTTCAAAATGTGCAAGATAAGTTGAGTGGGACGCCGTTTTAAAGTCGAGGGCAGATTATAGTTGGAAAATGGTAACTTCAAAATATGCCACATTAGCTCATTTTTCCAAATAAAATCACTGTCACTTGGTTTAGGCTAATAGCTATATGAACCAGGCCAAAATAAAAGAAATCGGCTAACAAACTTGAAATATTTACTAGGCCATGTCATACCCAATTTAAAAAGTTTTTATCAATACTGCATATTTAGAGGTATTTTTACTAATCTATTATATGTGGTCAAATTGACAAAGCTTTGAAAAAGATTGTTGATGACGTCACATTGTGGTGTTCTTTTCTTATTCTGTCTAACTGAGGCTACCCCCCGTCCTATAACCCGCTAAAAGCCATGACTGCCATTGCCATCTACCACAAAATAGTTTTGGCATTCCGAAACAAGCAATGAGTGACGCTTTCTAAGTTTCATTGAAAGGCCAATATACATTGGGTGTTGATCAGTTGTAGGGAATTCTACGGACACCTTAGGAGAATTAGTTTGCTTGTAGTTTGTCAGGAAAAAAACTTGAATCAGAAAAGCGAAGAGTCACGAAACCTTCAGGTAGGTGGGTTGTTTTCAGCAAAAATGCTATTTTAAAAAAAGTTCTCCAAACTTTAAGTTTTCTTTAAAAGTTTTAAATCTGCATCTAAAAACTTGCGGCAGGTAGCACGATATCGTCGAATGTTTACATGCAATTTCCTTCCTACCTTCCAGCTGCACATGGAGGGAGTCAAACCACCTTCCAGCCTACGTGCTGACAAGTGGGACGAAATTCAATGGCATGTTCATGACCACTTCATACTTCTAGACAAGGAATTTTGTAGGAAAAAACTAGCAAACTGCCAAACCTGAAATTTTATTTCACATTCTTACTAAATCGACCATGGAGATTCCAAATCTAAGATGGGGAAAAAAATTATCACCAGAAGTTCCTGTTTTTGATGATGTCACCAGAAAAATGATAAAAAATCTTCAAAAATCAGCCAACGACTTGAACTAAACTTTTCTTGCATTTTGAAACTAAATTAACTAAGCAGATTTCAAATCTGAGATGATATGAAAAATATCTTGAGCGGAAGTCAAATTTTTTGATGACGTCATCAACTTGGAGAAATATCACTTGGAATTTTCTCGCAACTATTTGACCTTTTTAATTGTTTTCTCGCAACTATCATTGTCAAATATGTTCCATATTCGAAGAGCACACATTCAGTGCTTTTGAAAGATGTATTGAATTACTATTATACTTACCTTTAAACGTTTTTTCATGTCGTCATCATTATTTTATGACGTCATCTTCCTTTAAAGGTAATTGAATAACACGTGAAAGTATGCCTAAAAAACTTTAGCTGGTTAAAAAAGTCATTCAAAATTAAAATTTGGTTGTATTGAAAATGATATTGAATCCTTCCTTCATCACTGTCTCCTTATCACTGTCTCCTTTGCTGGAACTCCCAAAGAAAATGCAGTTCTACTCATCATCGTCTGCTTTAAGCTGATCACCGTTATTTCCCATGGCCTGGTCCTCATTGGTTACGGATTTTTTTTCGATTTCATCACTAGAGCACTGCAGATCTTGCAGTTTTTTAGCGGAGGGTGTGCGGGGCCCTGTAAAAGATGAAAATAATTTGTGTCAAAAAGATTTTGGGAATTAGTTGGCTGACTCCAGTATTTTCTGCAGATATTCACACCTTTTTAACGTTGACGATCGAATATTTTTCTCATCAATCCGTTAAGAAACGTTTTTCTCTGTATAACCTCTAAGTGCCATTTCTTATTTATTTATCAAATGTATGTTCAAAATAAGAATATATAAAGAAATTTTGTTCTTTTAAACCACACTAATACCACCTGTAGGCCAGATCATTCTTTCCATCGTATGTCTAACCAAAGCTTAAAGGCAATTTCTCTTACTTTTAGTAATGTAACCAATAGTTAATGCTTGTGTCGACCAGTATGGATCTGGTTGTAGAGCTTCTGATTATCTGTTTTTCATTGCCTTGCGAATTCTTACTCTTATCTGCACAATTGTTTCATCACATTTCCCTTTGTATGATTATTTTTGCACAAATTTGATCGCTTTCGCAAGAATGTCTTTGCAGATTTCCTGTCTCATCGTAACCCCCTCGAGCAATTTTTCCTTTCCAGAACACTCCTAAAGCTGTTTAAAATGTTAGCTTTCCTTATAACAAACATTACCGGTGTTGTTTCGCAACCAATAACTGCATGAATAACCGGTAGATTTTTGGAAGTATCTAAACCCAGGTAAGATACGACTTTCCAAAATTTACGTACTTCTCGTTGTCAATCTTTAAGGAAAATTTCCTTGAAGACTTCACGCAATAAGAAGGGAAAACTACATTAGTGTCCTTTGACAACTAATAAATCTTTATCGGCAAGTATGGAGTATCAAGAGGATGCCGCCTCTTCATAGCTGCAATTATGCAAGTATGTCGTGGAAACTTTGATTATCTTGAAGGTTTGTTCTTTATTGGTAAACGCGAGTGCTTTCGAAATCAACTGCTTTCCATTTTGGCCATGGTCGATTTAGTAAGGATGTGAAATGAAATTTGAGGTTTGGCAGTTTGCTAGTTTATTCTACAAAATTCCCTGTTTATTCCTTCCAATACCATTCCATCTTCCAGCATTATCCCACCGTCCAGCGTTTATGCTGAAAAAATTCATCCCACCCAAGTGAAATCCCACCTCTCACGCAGTGGAATCTCACCTAACCGGGCTGCCTCGTTTCCATATAAACGCTAGCCTCTCAGCTCACAGGCTGGAAGGTGGGATGATTTTCTCCAAATAAACCGGCCTGGACAAAATTTTGCAACAATCGTGCAAAATATGATACTAACATGATAATTTCACAACTTATGTAGTTTGAGGTGTAGAATATGATGCAAAACAGACCCAAGCCGAAAATTTCCGCTAAAAGCGATTTTTAGAACATTGAACTTGGGCTCAGTTCTCAAAATGGAAAAGTCACTTGCGAACGACTAAATGAGATTATGTCTGCTAACTTTAATGATCATGTACAAACTAAAGTTGGAAATGCCATGCCAAGCAAATAGGGTCCACCAATGGCCCTTTTTTATTTGTAGAACAATCAACTTGGTTCCAGTCCTCAAAATTGAAAGGGTGACTCGCGAGTGATGTAGCCTTTTTTCCGCAACTGGTCTTGTTATTATAATATATAATTTATGTACTGTACGATCTAATACATGAAGTATGTTGCAGAGTCTAGTTAATACCATTAATTTCAACCGTTTTCATTTGATAATTAAATTTAGTTCCATTGCCAAGCGCTTAAAATATAAACATTCGTACGTATTTTGCTGCTTAAGAACAGAATTAGCACCAAAATTGCCCTAGATTCACCCTATAAACAATGTAAATAATTGCCCTATAAACATATGCAAGTCTTTAATCCAAGTAGCATATAATATATTTGTCGTTAGCAACATTACAGTAGCACATTTAGAACTTTAAATTGGTAGAGGGCGAGGGCAGTGATATTGCTCATGTCAACGTTTTCTAGAGACAACGAGCACTAATAATATTTAACAAGCCCCCCTTGTTGGTGGCAGGCTTTAATTCTTTGAGCCTCATGAGCCTCGATACAGGTTTGAAAATGTGAGGGGGGAAGGGGGGGGGGGTTGGGATTTGGACAAGTAAAAATGCAACATCAATAACAAATCATTTTGCAAAAGCGTCCATGAACTTTCTTCATGAACAGCGTTTTCCTACACTCATCTATTGTTAATAGCCGACAAGTTCAATCGTAAAGCAAAATAAACCTCTCAATGGACTGAACATCATCCTTAGTAGGCTCTCTAGCGTTACCCTACGACAGCCTAGATAAAAATAAAATAACTATCATAGTGCCAGGGGATGCTCCTAGCACACCAAGAAAAGACAGAAGTTTAGTTTCCAGCTACAGCTACAACATTGTAACATTGATAAGAATGCCTTCCTGAAGAGAGTTTCTGGAATACAAAGGTATGATTTCCAAGTAACCTACTCTAGTGTTTCTAATAGAAGGGTGGAGGTAATAGAAGGGAGATGTTTGTTCCGGGAAATTTACAATAGAAGGGGGGGGGGGTGGTAATAGAAATGGGGGTGTTCATGTCGGCCAGGTTTCAATAGAACGGGGGTGGAAATAGAAGGGTGTGTTCAGGTTGGCCAATTTTCAATAAAATGTCAGCAAATTTCAATAGCAAAGAGGAACTAATAAAACCAGTGGATGTTGATAATCTATTAATTAAAAGCCAATGGAATTAGTAAGATGGTGACACTGGTTACTTGATAATAAATAGATGGTTAGAGATAAAAATAGACAAACATAACACGGGGAATTATGGCAATTAATAAAAAAACTACATAACATAGCAAGGGGAATTACTGACAAGTGTAAATTGCGTGTTCTGGTCATGACAGATTTGTAAAATCTAATAGAAGGGGGTGGTATTAATAAGCAGCGGGGGGAGGGCAAATTCTTCTAAAATATGTTACAGGTTAAGGGCTAGCTGTAACTTACGAGTAGTCGTATACGGCAAGAAGCGATAAAGATAGCGTGCAACTCGTGTTGAGACTCGAAACTCACTAATGATCATTACATAATTACAACAATAAATACTATACACAAGCAACATAAATTATCACAGAGTGATGTAAACTAGCGTCCAGTCCTAATACAAATACACGGGGGGGGGGGTTTCCTAACAGATTACTTAAGAAATTTAGTTTCTGCCTACAGCTATAAAATTCTAGCATTTTTTACAGTGCATACATGAAAAAGTTTTTGTAATCAGCCGCTTTAGAAACTTAGTGTTTCTGGCTACAGTTATAAAATTTTAACATATTTCAAAGTGCTTATATGAAAAAGGTTTTTTGTAATCAGCCACTTTAGAGATTTAGTTTCTAGCTACAGCTAAATGTAAAATGTTCGGTTTGATTTCTAAATATCCCATCCGCTTCTTTTTCTCTACCGCAGAGTGATACAACTTTATCACGCCCTGTGAGAGCATACCGACAACGTCACCCACTGCAAAAATTTACTTCAAGCTTTGCAGCATACGTGTGTATTTGAAACCATTGCATCAGTTCCACCCAAACTCAATCCAAGACGTTCTCGATGTTGAGCTCTCGACAAAGGGAGACCGTGACAATGACCTCTGTGTGTACGGCCCAGATGCTGATTTCTTGGTGAATTGTTTCTGCTGCATTTTGTGTGAAGGAAAATGCGCGCGATTGAATCCATAAATTATAAAACAAAACGTTTTACAAAACATTGATTGTGTCATGCGTATGTTTTTCAAGAAATATGAAATATGAATGTGATCAAATGCTGCAAACTGTTCATATCATAAAAATTTATCAAGAATAGAGATGGGAAATAAAAACGGGATAATTTTTGGTTTTGTTTGCTTTGCGTCATAATTCCTGCATGATTTTGCAAATATGGACCTTTCAAATGCACTTTTGGCAATCTTTTTCATTTTGTTTTTGGAACAAATTAATTTAAAAAAATTACTTCGTATGCTTGGCATGAAATTTCAAACTTTAGAGTGTACATGAATATTAAATTTTGCAGACGTGATCTCATTAAGTCGCTCGCAAATGACTTTTTCATTTTTTTAGAACTGGATTCAAATTCGATATTCTAAAAATAGAATATGAGATTATTTAGAGACCTTTTTTTTTATCTTAACCTGATATTTCACACCTCAGATTGTATATCAATACCAATTTTGGCAGACATCGTTACATCGCTTGAAAGTGGCGTTTTCATTTTGGGGGGCTGGAAACAAGTTTAATATTCTAAAAATAGCTTTTAGCGGAATTTTTCGGCTTGGGTCTGTTTTGCATTATATTCCACACATTAAACTACATAAGTTGTGAAGTTTTCATGCTGGTTTCCTGTATTGCACGATTGTTGTGCCTTCAGACCGGTTTGTAACATCATCAACAATCACTTATCTGTTATTTAACCAAATGAGGAGTTTCATTTACAATGCAAGACACCACTTAATGGTCGCTTCTACTTATGATTGCTAGCTTTGGCTGTTACCTTGCAATCTTTGATAATATTTTTTTCATATAGGCGCTAATTTGTAGCATCGGATGATCTGAGTATTAATAAAGAGGCCACGCAAAATGATGTCATTTCTTGTGCACAATCTTTACCTTTTGGCTGTACTAATGGTCCAAGTTTATGGAAACGACCCAAATTATCGCAACATATTCTACCAAACAACAAAAGAAGTTCAAAATGAGGATCTCTCAAATATTCAAGGAGAAGTCCCCCATTGGATTGATGGAGATTTCGTTCGACAAAATTGTGCCTCGTACGGTGATATTGATGGTGGGTTAAAATTGCTTTCTTTTTTTCTCTTTTCGCTAGTTGAGACATTTCAGCTAAAGTAATATGAGCAAAGTAAATTTTTCATTGAATTATGATTTGACTTATTCTTTTATTAGAAATGTATCTAGGAAAAGACGTTAACTAACCTAATTAAAAAAAACATGACAATAGAGTGTGACGTCATCAAAAACCTGTTTTTAGAATTTCTTAATTTTGACCATATAATATGAAAGAATATCATAATATACCCCTCAACATGCAAAATCGGTTTGATATGTTCAAAATTGGGTGAGAGAAATGGCTAATGGCTAAATATTTCAAGTTTTCTAACAGATTACTTTTATTCCTCCGCTTCTCCACTTGGTTTTCAATTTCCGTGCTCGAAATTTTGTGACTCTGGTACCCAGGGTACTGTTATTCTGACTGGATGCATAAAGTTATGAACCAATACCAAATTACTGAAGTTTGATGGGGAAAGAGCGAACGCTTATATTGCCATATCTAATCCAATTTGTACCACATTCAGCTGATATGGCACATTCAGAAGTATTTCATGATGCTCTTCTTTGATAACAGAGACTAAGCTGAAAAATTCTACAGATATATTTTTGTGACGTCATCAGTTCGGTACTCTATAAAATTAATAGAATTACTGCTGCAACAACTTGTCATGCGTTGATATCAACTTGATTTTTAATGATACAAATATCAATTAGTAATGGACAAAGAAACTAAAAATGTGTATGTAATTTTAGATTCGAAAATTTATAGAATCAGCTATTCTTGATATTCAGCATATCGGGTTGAACTACTTGGATATATATATTGTTCTAATGTTCTCGCAATTATGTCTCAAGGCATTTAGATACAAAATTGGCAATTGAATTGAGACATTTTACGTCTTCTTGACCTAATATATCAGAGCATGCTTTCAGATTTTCTGAATCTATTCATACCTCTTTTCAATTATATAAAGAAATTTATGCACACCCAACTTTGAGATTCGATAAATAGAAAAGAATGGAAGATGCGACGCTACAGAAAAAACAGAATATTAGAATTGGAAGAATGTAAAAAAAGTGTAGGAAAAAGAAATTATTGAAGGAAATTGAAATGTTAACCAAGACCATGTGGATAAAGAGTTTTTAGGCTAAAAATTGAATGTTTCTTCAAAGTCTTCCGTATGACGGTGTCTTGCGGTGCATGCAATTAGCCAAGGATGGAAATGTTGGCAGTAGAATGATTGAATGAGTTAAAATGTTTAGATATGTTCTAATAGATATGTAAGAGGTGTTCTTCTGTGAGACGGATTTTGTTAGCAACATTTCTCAAGTGTTCTCCAAAACAGTTGTTTACTTGACGGGAGGTTTCGCCGATGTAAAGAGATTGGTATTTGGTGCAGATGATGCAGTGAATCACACAGGAAAAAGAACAGGTAAAGTGAGATCTGATGTAGAAGGATTGGTTACGGTTTATGATAGTGGTCGATTGGTTAATGTGTGTGCAAGTACGACAGAGGTGATGTTGGCAGGGGAAAGTACCAGGCTGTTGTGGTGTTTCGTTTAAGCTTGTTCTGACCAGGTGGTCCTTTATATTCTTGTCTCTGCGCAGAGTCAGTAGTGGTGGCGCATTAAAGATGTTCTTTGTATCAGTGTCACTAATAACAATGTGGGAATTGTTATAGATAATATTCTTTATGCTGTTGTTAACGTCGTGTTTTAAATAATCAAACTAATATATTTTCATTCTGGTACTCAATTTATTTGCTAAAAATATTATCATTATTTTTGGATGCCGTATCTCACGTAACGTACATATTTAATTGACTTGAAGTTGTTTGTTATTTCCTTGGGGCAATTAAGTTGATTTGTTTTAAGTGCATGCTAAGTTGATCTTTTTCTGTACGCAACTTTCATTCTTTTGAGACAGAAAGTTTGTAATAACTGCTATAAACTAATAAAATTTTCTAATTATTGCAATCTGTATATGTTTATGCAATATTCCAGTTAATTGTTAAGTCTAAGAGCAGATAAGTAACCTTTTTCTGATGGAAAAAGATAAGAAAAAATCACTGAAGTTACACTATTCAGTTAAAACTACTTGTTTCTTTGGGGACAATTTTTTGGCACTTCAAATGTGTAGTAAGCCAGGGGCCAGGGGGAGGGTGGCTCGGGTGGCATTGCGCGCCCAACTAGCATTATTGCCTTTCTGTGCCTGCGAACAATTTTAGGATGAAGCTTTTTTTTGTCGAAAACCTTAGTAGAAGGCTTCTTTCTACATGACTGTCAAGAAGCATTCCGTCTCAACAAAGTCTGTACATTCATTGGCATAATTTGTTTCGAGTTGCCCCAACTGCTGATTAACTTCGCGTTGGATGCTTGCTTTCAGCACTGAGTTACTTTGATGCTCCTCAGTGCAGTGAAGACACCAAACTATAAAATGAGATTCGAACCTCGTTCCTTTCGAACGAAAAACTTTGATGTTAGTCAAGTTTAATGACTTTTTAAATGTTTAGGGGACCATACCTTAAAAACTCTCTTTCAAGTAGACGCAATGATAAGGCTCCGTTGCACATATCATTATGGCTTAGCTCCCTTTTGAAGTCACTTTTTTGATTTATTGTGTGAAATACGTAAAAGAAACGAAGCTTCGCTCCATAAATTACAAAAACTCTTCAAAAAAAGTTTATAACATTGCAACAATGTATCAAAAATGTATCGATTGCCAGATGGTAAATTCATGAAATATTACCGTTACTTAAGTTCTTGTTTCAATATAACAAAAAAGAAATTTCTTAGCTTTACTCAGTTGACAAGTAGACTAAATCGCCATTGCCTGGCGACCTTTTCTGTGCTGGCTTCGTGCCTCTTTAGGTAGTTAAAAATATGTATTAATCTAAACTTTTTGTTACAAATAGTCATTGCAATAGCTAACAATGGACACCTTTTGTTTCTTCAGGACCACAAAATGACTGGATACCACACATGTTTGACTGCATTTCGATGGTCGGACGCTATGAGTTCAAAGGTGGAAAAGTAAGATACTCTAATAGATTTTATGACACGAAGGAAACACGCATTTGGAAACACTACAATTACAGTATAGCAAAGTCCAAAGTTGGTTGGAATACATTATTTTCTCCAATAGATCTGTCTGCTTACGTTAAAAACACGAGGATTCAATACAACGAGACATTGTGGCCCACGCCAAACGTTAATTTCTGGCAGTCCCGACTTGAAGATCCAGTTTTTGCAATGACCGAATCAATATACAGTGCAGCGGAACTGAAGGTCACGCCAGAACTGGAGGTGCTCGGTAACTATCGAAGGAAGTTTAACGATAAAGGATTTCCAAGCAGGTCTACTCACGACTTGATTATAAGTCCTGCGCATGAACAGCGGGAAAAGGATGGAACAATCTGGCATTCAACTATTGACATTGAAAGAGCCTCTCCGACAAAGTTTGATGACTTAGAAGCAGCCATTATTGTTTACAAAATGAAAGGTTCTAACCGCACTGTAACAGGTCGTCATGTCCTTGGAAAATACAATCTCACAAAATGTCGTCTAGGACTGGGTCTAGATGACATAAATATCATGCCAGGGTATCATCACTACATGGAAACAACAAGCAATTACATAATAGTCCCAATGTCTTCCTATCTCTTTGACTACTGTCAACACTATGCAAATATAAGAAAACTAATGGGCGTTTTCCCGCGCTCATTCAAATTCTACCCAAACTTCAACTCGAGCCTTCTTCTTTTTGATCGAAGCAACATGTCAAATGTGCACAGAGTATTTCTTCCATTCGCAAGGCTTTTTACTCACAGCCTCAATGCTTTTGAAGATGGCGATTACCTCTACCTAGATACCATGTCCTACCGTGACCCAGACCTCTACATCAAAACTTTTTCACTCTACGAGGCCATGAATGGCTACAACTGGAGCACATCTTTCATTCGCATTGCCATTAACAAGAATACATGGTCTTATGATCCTTCTTTGAGTGGCTCTCTCACTCAAACTGAGCCTTATGGAAAAGCAGAATTCACACAGATAAATTACGATAAATTTCATAACAAAGACTACACATACACTTATTTCCTGAGCAACCCGGTAAATCCAGAACCTCGCATTGCTAAACTTAACGTGAAGACAAAAAATATAACTTACTGGGTTCCACCAGTTGGGTATTATCCGCAAGAGCCTGTATTTCTGCAACCGGACGACGCGGTGGGTGAAGATGAAGGCGTAATTTTATGCTCTGGCCCTGTATCTGATACAGTACCATCTTCAAGCTTCCTGGCTGTTCTCAATGCAACGGACATGAAGCTTATTGCAATGGTGAAGAATCCCAATTCTGGCTTAATAAGTCTTCACAACAGATTTTACAAGTCACGTGTCCCAGCAACTAAAGCGCCAGCAACAACAGTTGCAGCCAAGCCAACAACAGGCCAGCCGTCATCTGGAGTTTCTCTTTCTATAGTACAGGGCATCTGGATTGTTGCTGCTTATAAACTTTTACAGTTTTTGTTTTAATCGAACTTTTTGAAAACACATAAACAATTTGTTCTTTTTTTATAGCTTTTATTGTTTGGTTTGCTAACATTATAAGAGGTAGCTTTAGTTTTTTTTTCATCAATTTTTGCTTGCTTCAATGTTATATTTTGAATTTTGTTAACGCTGGTTTGCAAAGAAGAGAAGCAGCTTTTTTTAGCAAAATCAAATGTTGAGAATTGTTTCTCTTTATTACATGGGCAAAGACAATAAATGATTTGAGCCAATTCCCAAATCTTGAAATACATTATTTGTAATATACCACAAAGTCAATGTTGCTTAACCAGCTCTTATATAGCACTGTTTTGTACTTTTAAAAGCTAACTAGTAATAAGCATTATAACTATTTTTAGTTATTTACTTTAGTTTTACTTTTGTTTTTTTGCGCTGTAGTAGAATAATATTTTTTGGTCTATTGACCTATAATTGAAAAATCTGTATCCATTTATAACATAAATTGAAACTAAATCTCAAACTCAAACTCAATTTGCGTCGCCAATATCCATTGTTGACTATAATATCTGTTGCTCTTAATAACATTCATTGTGAGTTATATTTCATGAGATGAGGAGTATAATATTTCATTTAAGAACAGCATTAGTGAGACTTGTCAGAAGTATTTAGCGGATTAAGAACGCAATGGCTAAGATTGTAAAAGTTAGACCCCATACTTTTATAAACCAATTCATAAATTGGAAGAACCAATTCATATTTCAAACTGGGAAGAAATAAAACTTCAAAATTCCTTTCAATGGAAGGGTTTCTTGGAAAAACACGACATTTTATGAATAAAACTGTAATGAAATTCGGCTTATACACACCAACACAACAAAGTAGAAATGTAATGGCACCCACCACAGCAGTCATTTTTAAGATCTTTTAATTTTGACTACGTTAGCAGAAATACCACTTAATGTCCGAAATCGTCAAATATTTGTTTCAAATTTCCAGAGATAAGGTCAATGAAAGATTTGAAGTTTGCCAACTGTAATTTTTGCTTAGCTAACACGTTTAAGAACCAGGGCCAGATTAAAGCGATTTGATGGCGTAGGGGGGGGGGGGGCGTAGCATGTACTCGATCTGGAATATATGAAGCTGATTTTGCACATTCAGAGGTATTTATGCTTTATTTTGGGTTGAAATGCTGAAAATAGATTCTAAAAATTTCTAAAAATAGACGTTTGTGACGTCATCATTCTTGCAATGCACACAGCATAGTCATTTTAAAACAGAATTTTCTTTTAACGTGTAATATACAAGTGACTATACAAACAGCAAACATTTTTTTAAAAGATGCAAAGAGAATTAATAAAAATTGTACAGGACAACCAAAACCAGTCTACGTAAAATAATAAGGGTGCACTTCATTGCGCTTTTTACTGAACTCCATAAATTAATGTCAGCTAATCAGAAAGCGCATGAGTTGTACATGTTCACTGATTGGCCAATTGTTGATTGACAAAGGGCTAGAGCCACTTTAGTATCAGTCGATTGCCTGAGACTAAAACCTGAAGACCTGGTGGTCAATTGTTTAAACTGTTGTTTAAATGCGGAACACAATGGTTTGGACTGTGATAAAAGTGAGAATCATTTTAACCTAGTGACATAAAATATTCATGAACTAGGTACGAACCTAAATGATTCATTTTTCGTTTAATGTCTATGAAATACCAACCTTTGGAGACTGAAAGCCTAATTTTAAGTAATTCTACATGGATGTTTAATGTCAGATAAAGACTGTTGAGAACCCGCGATCAGAATGCGTGACTCCTGACAGAAATAGAGTTTACCCTTGCAGTCAAGTAGCAATAAACGTTCGTTTTTACTTTGGCTATCTTGAAAGCATGGAATTTTCGAATGCTGGAATGCTGGAATGTTGGATTGTAAAACCTAGATAACTATATAACTACATGCTAACAAGTATATTTGTGCTTGATTTGGGTTGTTGATATGAGAACTTATCCTATAGGAAGGTATTACCTTGAATAGGCTAACTTTCTTCTATTCACATTCCAACATTCCAATATTCCAGCATTCCACCATTCCAATATACCAACATTCCAGCATTGCAACAATCCACATTCCATGTTTTCAAGATAGCCAATTTACTATATTATGATTTGCAAAAAACCCAGTTGATTATTGAAAAAAATTAAAAAATGTATTATGATTACAATTCAATTGAATAAATACCATATCAAATAAATTTAATGCGAACAAATTCTACAATAAAAAGACAGGAAATTCAATAGAGAAATTAAACAATATCGGTAAAATGCCGACCAGCTAATGAAAAATTTAAGCAGCAAAAAAACTGACCAAAGTCTAAAAATATTTTGATGGCTTAAACTATGTCATTATATTAAAGTACTATTCAAATACCCAGAACTTTTCAATATCATTCTACAAAGATTTAATTAAAAACGATTAAATTAAATTAAATTAAAACCGATAGCAAATAAAGGTAAGATGGTCCTCAGAATATTTTACCATTGTTAAGCATAAGACTGAAGGTGACGTTGTCTCATCATTTGGACCATTTATCTTTGGGCTGTCGGTGCGCCAATCGCAAAGACGGCCATATATAAAAACTAACCGTCTTTGAAGGAATTGAGAAGAATAACAATGGCCTTTTTCCACCGATTAGTAACACCTTCTTCATGCAAAAGTTGCAAGCCATACGGCCATTAACTAATGCACGAAGAAAAGAAAAAGAAAGTTAACATGCCTGCAATAACCAAAAAATACCTAGACATGGGTTGGATGAACAGGGTCGCAAAAGAAAAACCTTTCTTCTCTAAATCCAACTTCAAGTTGTCTTGGAACGTGCGAGAATGAAACTATGCCAACACAAATTTTATATACCCAAGGCCAAAGCACATTTGCACGCTTGTTGCTTTAGCCATATAAAAAACACAATGTAATGCTTACTCGAGCACTACTACAATAAACACAAACTCCACAATCTTGCAATCTGTGCCCAAAAACAAAGCCCAAGGGGGTACCAAAATGCTTACCCTGTCACATATCATACGTCATTAAATTTCATTTAATCAAGAGGTGAAAACTTTATAGCAACTTTAAAAAGTAATATATCAGGTCGAGTACACACTAGAGAACAGGAAAATTCACGCTAGAATCCAACTTGAATCATTATCACAAAACGATGATATAACAATAGGACTCAAAAATAGAACCTATACATCTCACTTTTCTTCCCTTAAAGAAAAGCGTTCAACATCTATTAAATTTGCCTTTGTTGAAGTCATTTACTGTAATGCAAAGTCTTTTTAGCAGATGAATGAACTAATACAACAAAGTCAACTACAAGTGCTGCGTGGACTACCAGCACTTGGAAAACAGTCAAAAAAAATTATTCTGGCTTTTAGTTCCACCTGTTTGTTTTTATTTACCCCAGTCCAAAAATCTTGGAAGTCTTCTGATTCTTGCTGGATAACGTCTTTCAGGGGTCTTTGCAGGAAAGCTCACATCAGGAGACTTTGCAACTTTTACCTCAGGAAACTTTTGAACTTCTGACTCTATCTGTAAATCTTCCTTCTCTGGAGACTTTTTGCTGGGTAAATCTTTGTCCTCAGCAACTCTTTCATTACATGTTTTCTCCAATTCAATTGAAGGTAACACATCTGGAATAACAGGTAACTCTTTTGTTGTCTCTTACGGTGGAATCACACTTCTTAAAAGGTGTTCTATGTGCACAAATCTAATTCTTTCCTAAAACTTTACCAAATATGTGAGAGGTCCTTTCTTCTTTACAATAACTCCAGGGATCCATCTCTCCTTGCTATCTCTGTGATTTCTAACAAGCACTGGTTGATTTACTCTCAACTCACGACTTTTAACCCCCTTTTGGTCATGATACTTTATCTGCTGATGCTGTTTTTCTTCTATCGCACTTCTGCAGCTGAGTTTGGTTTTACTAAACTTAACCTAGTCTGCAGAATTCTCTTTATAAATAACTCTGATGGTGCTTGCTTTGTAACTGAATGTGGCGTAGAACGATAGGTCAATAGAAAATCAGCTAATCTTCTTGACCATGTAACTGAAGTATCCTTTCTTTTATGATCTAGCCACATCTTGTTTAGAGCTTGCTTTACTGTCTGCACTGCTCTCTCTGGAGCTCCATTACTTGCTGGATGATAAGGTGGAATGAGAGTATGCTTAATAACATTCCTCTTTAAGAACATGTCAAAATCTTCAAAAACAAACCGAGGACCATTATCGAAAACACGTTCCTCTGGCAATCCATAGCTTGCATAAATGTACCTCAGTTTATCTATGGTTGCTCCACTGGTGGTACTAGACATACAAGACTTCAATCCATTTGGAATAGCTATCTATGACAATCAAAAGCATCTGTTTGTCAAACATTCCATAGTCAATATGAATTCTCTGCCAGGATCTTGCTGGAAACTTCCAGGGATGGAATGGAGCATGTGCTGGCATATTTCTAAACATTTGACAGCTTTCACAACTCTTTAAATATTCTTCCATCTGTGAATCAAGATGTGGCCACCAGATATAACTTCTGGCAGAAGGTTTAGTACGGCAGATATCTTGGTGTGTTTCATGTAATTCTTTAAGCATTCCATTTCCATATTTTGGTGGAATAATCACCCTTGTACTCTACAATACACACCCCTGCTCTGCAGATAGCTTTAACTTGCGATTGAGATATAGCCTTAACTCTTCAAGGCCACAACCTCATGGCCAACCATTCAAAATAAATGAAAGAACTCTTGATGAAAGTGGATCTCTCCTTGTCTCTTGCTGTATATCATTAGCAGGGATTGGCAAAGAATTATAAACCTAACTTGACACACTGAAGGCTCTTTTCCTTCCTGTGAATTTCCACTTTGTAATCTAGAAAGTGCACTAGATTTCCTGTACAACAATTTGTATTGATAAGCTGCAAAGATCAAAGCTCAACGTTGCAATCTAGCTGCTGCTAGTGTTGGAATACCAGACTGTGCACCAAGTCAATGGAGGAATGGAGGCAAGACTTCTTTGAAACCCCCCGTAAAAATTTATCAGTCCAAGCCAGGATTCTAACTGTGTAGCATTTGTTGGAGTAGATGCATAAAAAATGACCCTGATTCTTTCTTCAGTTGGATGCAATCCTTTTTTGTCTGTCTTGTATCCAAGGAAAGTTACAGAAAACTTGAAGAATTCACATTTACTTAGTTTGGCTTTAATGTTATGACTTTCTAGCCTATG